GACTGGCGTAAAGAATCTTAAACGTACTTCACTGATGTGCAACATTATTTGTCCCTTTTGTAAACTCATAGGCATTTTAAAAATAATTTTCAAAAGTACACTTACATTTTCCTTCTTTGTTCTTCAGACCAACTGGAAATCTTGAAACAATGGTTGATGAAGCAGAGCCATCATGTGCATTAATTTTCCAAAAGCTCTAATATGATTGCTTACAACCAGAAACTGCCTAATCTAGGGGGGTATTAGGCAGGAACAGCTGACGAGTCCTAAGTAAGATGAAAATAGCTTCATGCATTCCTCATATAAGTAAAAACGTGCAACAAAAGGGTAATATCGAGGCATCCTGCCCAGGATGCACATATGGCATTGAGGATCGATCATTTGAAATTTAAAATATCAACAACAGGAGAAAATGAGTCCTCTCAGGCTTATAAAGTCTGTTAACCGAAAGCTAACTTGTTGAATTTGAACTTTCTGCTGATTACGTCTTGGGGTCCACATGACCTTACAAGAATCAGTTCCACGTATGACTAATTTGCCCACACTAATAATGAGTATCATTCGGTAATTAATTGACTTGGTGAAGTTTCTTTCATGGATATCTAAGAAGGGCTACAAAGTAAAATTTTGCGAAAGGGATTAGAGCAGAAGGCTTCTGCTACCCTAAATATCCTATCAAGGAGTCGGACGTTGGTTTACCTACACATGTTAACAAAGTATCACTCCACTTATTCATCATTACCTTATTCTTTATTTGTCTTTGAGTCATTATCTAGAAAACAATGTTCGGTATATTCATATGCGTCTTATATCGCTCGTTCTGATAACCGTGATTAGATAACTTTCAGTGGTGTATATGAGTTTTAGAGAATAATATGGAGTGTTGATTGTAGTTTTGGACCTAACACATTCTTTTTCACTTCCCACTAGATCGGGACGTCTTAGATGACATAGGAGGCAAGCAGAAAAGCCAAAAGTGAACAAACGTACTCGTGGCATACATGTTTTCACACAGATTCATCAGTTCCTGGAACCTCTTACCCGAGGCAATGGTGTCCACATATTCAACTGACTCATTCATGAAAAGACTAGACACTCAGAGAAACATACTAGAAAAGCAAAAGCATGGGCCGTAGGCATTCTGTCCCTACTGCACAAATCTGCATCTGTTTATTATTGTTCAGCACTGATCAAAATGCCACAAGTTCACAGAGCAAATACAGAACAAATACTTATAACTCTGAAACCTATGGTTTGCAGATGAGATCTGAATTGTCAAAAATGTTCTTCGAACAGAAACGAATTGATGTGGTCATCACAAGTGCCTAAGTGAGATATGTGAGAGAAACAACTAGGTACGACTCGGACTCCGAATCATCCTTACTGAATCTCATATTGAATCATTATGAAGATGACATCACAAACCTCGATTATATGCCACCCAAAGATAAAAGTGATCATTCAGTTCTATTATTTGATTTACATATAGTTGTCCATAACGAGCATGTGCCAGCCCAACCCAGACCCAATGTCTGGAAATCAAATATGCAAGATACTGTACACTCAGTATCCTCAGCAGCTTGGTCAATAGGTTCAGCGTCCATCATTGAAACAGAGTGAGATGTATTCAGAAATTTGTACATAAAAGTCGCTGCACTGCACATCCCTTAAACTGCACCAAGGGGTACGAGAAACTTCTCGTTGTGGTTCAGCGAAGAGGTTTTCACCCTGCTCTGTAAAAGGAGGAGGAAGGAAAGACTTATGTTACTGGGTACTGACGTGAGAAATTCTCAATATCGGGAAGCTCGAGATAATTGTCGATAAACTTTCTGTTAGACTGAAAAGCTTTTAAAAAACAATGAGCTTAAGATTGCAGAAATTTCGTAGCTTAAAGTCACCTTACATTTCTGGAATACTGTCTTTGATTTTGGGCAGTGGAACAAAAAAATGGGAAATTAGACAAGTGATAGTAGAAAAAAAGGATACTGAGTGATAGTCCATCGTTTAAAATAGATTAAGATGTTCAACGAGTAAACAAGATGAAGAATCAAGTATAGATAACTACTCAGTCTCTGCTTACATTGCTAACCAGTGTGTATTTTAGTCAAGTAAAGGCCACGTTTGCTAGTGGTTTGTGTTTTAACAAACCTAAAGGTTGTTGATGAATCCTAATAACTAATCATGAATATAGATGATCAATTATTACCATCGACTGAACTATTAAATTATGAGTACTAATTAGTATTACAATACGGTAATGAATGTGAGCATGGCTCAACAGACTATTAGAGTAGTGGGTTAACCTGAGTAGAAATCGATAGATTAGGTTTAAGGGAAAATGAGAATTAATAAGTGGCTGCGTCTTTTTAGTCAGTTTTACCCTTCCCTTCAGTTCATATAAACCTTCCACAGCATACACTGAATACCGTAGCCATTAAAGAACATCATGTCTTCGTTCTGCTAAATGAGTTTTTGTGGTACTTAGAAGTTAAAATGGTTCAAATGGTTGTGAACGGAATAGAAGAAGCTTTCGCGTAACAGGCTTCCGTGTCTAGTAGCAGAGGATCGCAAAATCCTCCAGGCAGGAACCTAGGTATGTTAACAATGAAAGAGGAAACGAAATTGGTAAATCATAGTGTGATACTATCCTTGGTCCTTAAGAATAGATCAAGTTGCCTCTTAAAGGACTCCTGGGAAGTTGCTTGGACTAGCTCGCTCGGCAGCGAATTCCATCATTTGACGACTCTTAAGGAGTAGGAGTTGTGTCCACAGTCCGTTCTGCTATGTTGTGTCTCCAGTTTTTGGGTGTTACCTCTTAGGTTAGTGTTGGAACTAAGCTTAAGTAGGTGTTTTAGAGGATTTCCAGAAGTGTTAAGGATACTATAAGCCATCAGAAGATCACCTCTTAGACGTCTATACTCTAATGGGTAAAGGTTAAGTGAATGGAGGCGCTCTTCGTAAGGTTTGAATTTTAGCCCTCGGACTGATTTCGTGGCCCGCCGTTGGATACGCTCCGGGGTGTCCTTATCCTTTTGGAGTGAGGGGGAAATACTATGTTTCCGTACTCTAAATGGGGATGGATACAACTAATGAAGATTATATGGAAAGTTCTTCCTTCAAACTGGCCAAAAATGCGTTTCAATGTCACCAGTGCAAGTTGTGCTCGGAAGGCAATTTTATCACAAGCAGCATAAGACTTTAAATCGTGGGGCACTAGGACTCCTAAATCTTTCTCGACTTGGGATACTACTAGAAAGGAGTTTCCTAAGTTATAACTGTATTCTGCGACATGTCGCAGATGGACTACTTTACACTTTGAAGTGTTAAAGGTAAGTCCGTTGTCACCTGCCCAACTTTGAAGTCGAGTCAGATCCTCCTGAAGTGCCTGTATATCGTCTTGGTTGCGTATCTCTCTCCAAAGTTTCACGCCGTCGGCAAAAAGTAATAAGTCTGACGTTACCTGTTGAGGAAGATCATTTATGTAGATCAAGAAGAGAAGAGGTCCTAGTACTGAGCCCTGGGGGAACCCACTAGGACATTCCATAGCCTGAGAGAAGGTGAAATTAACCCTGACCCTAAAATACCGATTTTTCAGGTATGAAGTGAGCCAATCTATTAAAGGTGGTCTGATACCCAATCGTTTGAGCTTATTGATAAGACATGTATGGTTAACCTCATCAAAAGCTTTTGAGAAATCTAGGTAGATGATATCAACCTTCCCCTTGTGATCAAGGATGCTTGTCCATCTGTCCACCGCAGTCAGCAGGTTGGTAATACATGAGTAACCCTTCCTGAAACCATGCTGTTGGGGTGAGAAGAAATTTGAGGACAGTAGATAGTCATTTATACCATCGCACATCAGGGACTCCATGATTTTTGAAGGTATTGAGAGAAGAGCCACCGTTCGCTAACTTGAAGGTTCGCTGCGTCGACCTCCTTTGAAAATTAGTGTGATGTGAGCCAGCCTCCAATTTTCCGGTAGTTTTCCTCGACTTAACGAGTGTGAGAACATTACGCTAAGCGGCGAATTATTATACAAACTTAACAAGTTCGGTATTACAATGTTAAGCACTACTTGCAACAAAATGACTAGTAGTTTTATAAACTGAATAAACAGAATACGTCCAATTTCACTACACTTAGCATTGAGAAATATACATGAATAGCATGACTGAAATATACCACAGGGCAAACACCTACCAAACTTGTGCTCATTCTCATGAACTGCTTCTCAACTTCTCAATTAACCATTATCCGTATAACCTTGGGTATATATTGAATTGAGATGATGTAGTAAATCAGTGGAATTCTTAATGTCCTGACGAACCACTTTCCTCCTTTACAGCATTTGAAACAGTAGTTGCATGGGAGTTGCATAAAGAAGATAGACTACTCTGGAGATGTTAAAGCTTATAATAAGTCGTACGCTTCTTTTCCGATTAATTTGAGGAAATGAGCCACAATATTAACATCCACGATATCTCCCTTGGTCACAGTTATCAGCATTTGAAGGTATGTTCAATTTTTTCATCACAGAGCATAGCGTCCCCACTCGTGATATGGTGCGGATTCGTGACCGAGCGCCTTCAGCTAGGTGAGTCTATTAAAACTAATGTGGTCAGCATCCAATGTCGAAGACTTACAGAGCTATTTATTTTGGGGATTTATTGTCTTATAGAAGAACCAGAAGCTATTTGATCAGTTTCTATATTACTTTGTGAATAATTCGCACCCAACATGCCCTCATTTTTCTTGTCTTTCACGAGGAAATTCCGAAAAATGTTCACAAACACAGGACAAATAAATTGTAAGCTAACTATCGACTTTCAAATAGAATCATCAGCGAATAGGATTCAATATCTGAGCCCGTGGTTAGATCTCCATCTGCCGACCCTCTCAAACAATTTTGATCAACTGAGGGACCACCATTTCTAGGAATAACACAGACGATCTAACTTCTTGTCTTTTCTAAGCTGAAACCGATATTGGTAATTGTACGAGTGGAGTTAAACAGTCTGGGTTACGCACTTTCGAATTATATTTTCGGCGGGTAACCAGTAAGATTTTGTGTAGGTATAGCGTTTCCTCTAAACTAGTTTTCTGTGCATGGTATAGTAGTTAGCCTGTCGCTCATCAGCTTTTGAAGCTTTTAGGTCGAGTACAGCAAATCTTTCTTTGATATCTAGGATGTATTATATAGACCCAAACATTCTGAAAACCATGAAGCTTGCAAATAACTTTTAATTTTTGAGACTTAAGGTTTTACCTGCGCTTATTTCTTAGTCACGTTGACAGTACTGCGTAGATATGCAATCTGCTGCAACAATAACAACATAATAAGATATAAATGACCTTTGTTATTGAATTAGTGACCGATTTATTGGCTAAATCGATACTTTTAATTGAAAAGCTGCTGGAAGCTAATTGAGCCAAAAATTTATACGCATTTCAACAGGTAATTTATGTATATACCATGTCCACTGCTTTGTGAATTGTAGTATGGGAACAAGTCAAACAATGGTAACATAACAATTGTGATATAGACATTATTCACACATGCATCCGCATCAGTACGCAATACTTCACTTCTCCCCACTTCTTAAACTTTTTTCCAGCAATTGTCGTAGCTACCATTTTAATAACAATTAGAACTAGTATTCACACTATTACTAGTTCAGATTCAAGTCACAACCAGTGGTAATCTGTTGTACACAATGATGTCTGTATTTGTGCAGGAAAGGTGTGTACTTAAATGCTTTGGGTACGTAATTTGGTATCACAAACCAATTACTACTTTTCAGGTATTTATAGACATACCCTCAGAACTTTCGTCTGGAAAGAAAACTACAGTTATTATGGTGTCAGCTCCTAAGGCTAAGTGAATTTCGCGCGGGAATGCCAAAAGGCGCCGTCTGATTTGTTCGTTCATTAAATGTAGTGTCACTAGGTTAAGATTTGTTTCAGGATTGAGGGTTTGGGGTCGGAATTTAGGTATATTGTCCATTCGCCTGCTGTGTACAGCTTCAGAGACTAGATGCTTGTATAATAAGTTTAATACTACCACTTACTCTATGGTGTCAATGATTAACTTTTCACTACCGTTTCGAATGTTTTGAGCAGTAGACAAAGGTTTTCCTATATCTCGTTATACTATAATGTCTAACCTTTAGTAGGTTGACGTCCAGCTTGAAGGTATCTTGTGTACTGAGGGGGGGTATTATAAGTACAAGAGAATCGGAAGACGAAAAAAGGGAAGAGTAAAAGGATGATTTAATAAACACGTCGATAATACTTATCTTTCATGATGAAAGTGATTGAAAACAATTGGCAATAACACAAGCGTAAGATTAAGATAATCTAATAATCGAGACCAGACGTTGGTGTCGTAAGGTTTCGAATGCGTTACAAAACGTGGTGTTTAAATTTGGTGCAGAAAATTTAAATTTGCCATTCTAATTCTGATTAGCTCGTTCCCATGCCATACTTTTACCCTCAGCTTTAAGCCATATTTATGTGAGCAATAGTGATACAGTTCAACTACTCAATTTGCTTCACTTATCTCCACAATCAAACAAACTAGTGCTAACAATTGTTAGCCACTGGGCGAAAAAGAAGTTCCTTGAGATTCAAACAAATCACGCACGTCATCACCAACTAGACTCTATAACCGTGGAGAACACTAAAAAAAATTGATCGGCCCAGTGGTTGCAGGATCATTGTGTTGGCTTCATCTCAAAGATTGGAACAGTGTATCAATTTTCGCTTATTTGAAACCGTGGCGTTGCCAAAGGGATGCGAAAGTACTACACAAAGGCATGTTACCGGAAATGAGGTCACTTATCTCAGGACGATAGAGTTAATCATACCCAGGCCAGTAGATGTATTTACCAGGTGTTTCGGTTTATGGCACCCCAGTTCAATACTTTGGTCAACTTCTGAGATTCCTGTTGAGCCTTGTTGCCGTTGTTTTTATAAGTTTTGGTTGATAGTTTTCACGTTTACGAATACTAGTTAGTCAGGAACTCTTCAGCACCGATTTACTTGTTAGTGTTATACAATGCTGTCTTGTAGAATCACAACTTAAGTTGATTGACGTACTTTGGCTCGAAATTTGATTCTTATGACGTGATATTTTTGAGATTCCGAAAACTTAATTTTATTTAAATCACTTAACCTATTTCTTTTGTCTATCCGTTAATAATGTAAAAAAAGTTCAACAGGTAAGTCCGAAAATTTTGACAAGTATATGATATTATCGTTACACTAATTCTATATTGATCACTTCATGTTCAAATACAACCACACAAATCAAAGGGATATCAGTTTTTTCTTTTCACTTTTAGAGGTGCAAACCACTTATTCTTCAGGAATATAAGATCGAGAGATTAAAGAAAGCTCACTAAATCAAACTTTGAATATATTAGAACCTAGGAGATACTCCTACGGATATATTAGACATGCAACGTTTGTTAACCTACATCCCTCAAAATTTGAAGGTGGTGCTCAAAGACCCAATGACGTTCCTGAAACCTTTGTCTATTGGGTAAGTGCAATACAAACAACAATTACCTTGGGACTTTCTCTGGCTTTACGAAATAAAATCAGTTATTCATTCAATACCTGTAATATATGAGATTTCGTTCAAAATCTAGCTAGCTTGACCACATGGCTTAATTATTCTTGTACCATAAAAACTTGATTGTCTGATACGGATTAGTGCCTGGTTTCCCCTTCGTTTTTAGTTTTAAGTTTTTATTGCCACAATTCAGACTATACTAAACGATATCAGTTCTGCACATAGGGCCTAAATCAATTCTAAGGCCACATATCGTAAAATTATGGTTCATTATAAGTGATACTGAAATCCCACTATATGGGGAGTCGTAGTATATACACATTTGTCGACTCATACAGGAAATTTGAAGATAATTAGATAGTAGTTGTAACTAATGACTATTATTCAGTAGAAGGTTTATTTTTATCTGAGGGATTCGCAAATTGTATATTTTATTTCATTGATATTATTCATTGTACAGTTGTATACAGCAGTCACCTACAAATCTCTGGTAGTTCGAAAAGTCTCAGATCTTTTAATCTTTTTCGATTTCACAGCCGTAATGTATACTTGGGTGCCAGCTTTATATCTAATGTACCAAAACGAACAGTGAAAATATATACTAGGACAGGTGACAATGGGACAAGTAGTTTGTTTACTGGTGAACGTCGTCCCAAAAATGATCCTGTGTTCGATGCTCTTGGGACAGTTGATGAACTTGCATGTTGCATAGGCTTGGCGTCAGCTCATATTCATGATCATATATCCAGACAGCTCCCCGAATATGACGTCCTAACTGTTTTAAAACAATTAGAGCAAATACAATGTCGTTTACTGGGCATGTCGTCCTCAATAGCCACACCTCTTCCTCGTCCTGAAAACCAAACTGATATTTCGGAGCGTCCAAAGCGGTATAAGCGTGTGGCTTTTCCAGAGGATCTTTCAGTTGAACTAGAGCAATGGATTGACAATTTGACAAATGCTTTGCCGCCTCTAAAGGTCTTCATATTACCGTCGGGTGGAACTCCCGGAAGTTCTCTACAACTTGCGAGAGCTGTTTGCAGACGAGCTGAACGGTGTGTTATCAGTATGAACCATCAACACGAATATCCTGTTGTCGAAGAAAGTGTAGTAAAGTACCTGAATCGTCTGAGTGATTATCTGTTTACTGCTGCACGATATATTACTAATGGCTTAGGATTTACTGAAAAAACATTTTTGTTACCTAACACAATTTAAAAAATAACTGCTTTGAACGCTATTTAGTACAGTATTCTTTAGACTCACCCATTTTTAACTACTTTTAGGTGTATTCGTATGTATCCTGGTGACGAATTGGGACGAGGTGCAGGCAAGGTGTTTAATTAATTTTATCTTACAAGTTTTCTAATTTAATTTTTTACTTTATGCTCTTTAAATAACCTTTTTTATGTGAATTAGTTTATTTATAACTTCAGTAGTGGTTAATGCTTTTGTAAATCATGAATCAATATAAAATTGTTACTTGTTATCTACTAGTGTATGTCCATTTTTTTTATCTTGACTACTTAAAATTTGTCCTCATCTTTTGAAAATTATAATACATGTTTATTGAAATTTTATATGCATTTCTGCATATTTAGTTGATATGTCCATGCTCTTCATTATATAATCTCCTTTAAGCCAGTCTAAGCTTATTTTGGACAATGTTTATCTGACCACTACCCCCTACTTCGACGAACAATTTTAGCCGGTCTGTGAACAGATTGAAAGAAAGATAGGGGCAGCCAAACCAAAAATACATCAGTTCATGTTCATCAGCATATGTTCGGGACCGAAGGTTTTGAGTTTGGTCCCCAGATCTGCTGAGGATCCCCGTGCTAGGACGAAACAGCTGTATAGTCTTCCCAGTTTTTCGATGGTTGTTTAACAGATCGGTTTGTTATCTCAAAATTCAACAGCCTCTACAACCCCCATACTGATTGTTCCTATATTCCTTTATTGATGGTCTGAGCCGCTTATGTAGAAAAGCAGATGACATGGTTGAGATCCATACGATAATCCCGTTTAGTGGCTACAGATTTTGATTGATATGGCTCAAGATGGCTCAGGTGCTTTTACTTTTTTACCTTCCTCTCTATCTTCATTTCCACTATTCTTTTGTACATACCTTCTCACTGTTTTTTCTAATTATAGTGTTAACGTCCAGTCATTGTCAACGTAATTGCTACTACATTATTTTGATTCCTTTATTATTTGTTTCGTCATGATAATGTAGTAAGTGAACTTGAGCTAACGAATATAGTTATCCCAGGTTGTATGCTGGTTATGACTGACTGACTGGGCAATATTATTAGACCCCATAAAACAAGTGTGACCAAAAGAATATTGCATAAACCTGTACTTGATAATGGAATTGCATCAAGCTAATTGGACAGCTGCTTATTTCCCATAGTTTTTGTGATAGAAGATATTAGATTGGTATAGCCTAGTTTAAACCGTTTTTCATTCAGCCACAAAGTTACTTTGCTTTAGAGAACTACACATTACCAGTCTCTTTTCAAGTTCTACAATTAATAGTATTCAGTTTATAGTGTCTATCTAATGTTCGACTTTCAGCTGCTACGTTTGAGTTTCGAAACCCCGTCTCATCTGCTTAGGGTTGAACATCTGGATGGTATTGCTAGCCCTTGTACGTGAAGTATAGCTCAAAGCGAAGTAAAAGATTATGTGAATTGGAGTTGTAATATATTGTTTTCGGTAGCATGTTTAAAGTAGCCAGTGTATTGTATTAGATAGAACCTAAGAGTTAAATAGTAGGGGATAGTGATGATTATCGACTGTACTGTTGATTCACATAAATTAAGTGGTTATCTTTAATAATTTGGTACTGCTGTTAGCTATTCGTTGTTATTTTAACATTAAGTTCAGTGGTTGAGGCATCATACGAATTCAGATTTCACCAATATTGAATATACGATCACGTTACAACTAATCGATTATCCGATGATAACCAATATAACAGCTTTGTATTAAATTTTAAATGTACACTTGATATGATCACAGTTAAGTAATACTATACGACGTCAGTGTTTTTCAAATACGGCGGACTCTTGTTTCTTGATTGTTTTTGGTTTCATGTATCTGCATGGACGTCTGAGGATGCTCAAACTTCCCTAACTTTATTTCTTGGTTTAATTTAACTTGGTACAATCGGATACTAAAAGTATGCGCCACTCAAATCATATTTATGTACTGATTGGAATACTGCCGAGAGGTCAAACTGAGGTGGGTGGTTTCCCTAGAAGACCACTCCACAAGTCAGTAGAGCAATTTTAGATACCTAAGTAGATGGTGACTCAAATATGCTCTTACAACATTCATTTCCTCAAGATCATGGGATCTCATATACACCAATGATTTGTAGTCAATGTTTCCCGAATCCTCCAGTTGAGTCCTCCGTATCCACCAAGTTCGTTTAAGCACCATACGTTCGCTTTTTGTCATTTCATTTCCGTAAGCATCCTCACCAAGTGAAGTCACTGAATTGTACTTACTCGACCATGGATTGTACATTATGCTAGTTATTATGTAAACCAGGCAGAATCAAACAACATTTATTCTTTTCAACACCATGTAAGGGGTTCAAAGTAACGACAACTCATCCTTGATCGTTTCTCGTTTAAAACAATTAATTGTTGACTATTTTATAATTAGGCCGTTACTTGTTTAATTTTAGGTTATTTGTATCAATAAACAACATACTATTTACCACTAAAATCAATACTAGAATTTTGGTCACTAGTTGTTAATACCCTAGTGAGAAGAAGGAAAAATCATGGACTTTACTGTTAGTCACTGCAAGTTATAATTGTTGTTAATAAGATGATATATCTAGAATGTTCAGTTCTATTACTACAGTAAAAGTCAGCATGTAAAAAACATTGGGACCATGCATATTTATCGTGTGTACACTACACCAACCAATTTTAGTATATATAAAGAAAAGATTGCAGGTTGACAATCGTCGAAGGTTATTTCATGGGGTAAATGTTTTGCAGTTGATTTGGTATACCATATTTCTGTGATTGCAATCACGTAGTTTAATTTAAGCGACTGCAAAATAGAAGGAATTTTGGCTAGATTACATGCGTCACATTAATTTCTGATCATTTTCGTTGTATAACCCTTTTATTAATAATCTCTGTGCTTTATATACCCTTCTCTTTCTGTTTTCTAAGTCTACACACAATCAATTGGGTTATAACTTTTCTATTCTATTCTTGTAATTAACGAAATTCGAAAACATTGATTCAGTTAGATAGGTAATCATCAAGTAAGCCAGTTAGGCTCGGAAATCAAACAACTTATGGTCACATGATTATGTGAATTTTTGTTATTTTGTGTTCTCTAGTTTGCATAGTTTATTAGCGTGGTTTTCATTGTTGTACTGAGCGATAGCATCATGAAATCTTACTGTTAAGTGATTTAAACATCCATTTGAGCTACAAATCTTCTCCATCATTTTGAAAATGTTTTCAGCCTAACATGCTTCTACTTTTTCAAAAATGTGACAACTGTGTTACATTTGAAAAATAAATAACACCAGATCGACACGTATCACGTAAACGAACCTGTAAATATGATTCGGGGATAATTTTGATACGATAATTGTTTATAGAAAGACTATTGTATAATTCATAAAGTATGGTTATCCATGTCTCGTATTATAATATTCTGTTTCTATTCTATTCTTTATACATTACTTCATAAGCCATTGACTGGTTGTTAACTTGTAATTGTTACATTAAATCAGTTGTTGGAGGTATATACATATTCTGAATTCATGGTTAAACATTGTAGCTATGATTTTTAAATAATGAGTTTTTCTTTTCGGCTTATCTAATGTACTTCACAATAAAATCTTCTAGAGTCGGTTTGTGATATTGAACGAATTAAATTTACATATTTCGCGTCTAAATTACTTATGGTTTGTGAACACTGGTTATCCATAATCATTGTATAAAATAGTGAGTAATGAATTCTTGAACTTATTAACCGGTTTATGTCGACATCCTTGTATTCATACTCAACCTCATGTATCCTGAAAGTTTCATCAGCCCTTGTGAGTAGGTGTCTGATAAAAAATGGTATACTTATGCAGAAAATTCGATTAACGTTTGTCAATTTACCTTACAAAAGGTTTTTGATTATAAGTGCCTTGGAAGTATTATTCTCGTTTTGTGGAACAACTAAGTGGGCAGTGTGTTGAGTCCTAGGTTCAAGGTACCTGGCAAAAGTGGCAAGTCGGTTGATTAGGTTTTGAATCTCTATCAGATGATGAATTGGTTAGAGCATGTGTTACGTATGCCTAATCACCATCTACCTCAGTGAACGATGCTTTTTGGTGCAAAAGTAGGTTGGAAAGTATCTACGGATAGTCAAGCGAAGATGTAGCATCATTCTATGAAGGCACTGGCTGTTGTTCTGAACCATGTTAGTATATGCAGACTATTTAGTTGGAGACTAGATGAAGCAACTAAGAATAGTCCATGGTGCAAGTGCGTCCTCTCTTTATTTCGTTCTAGATCTTCAACTCCAGCATTCCTTCATATACACTTTCACCCGGTCTTTTTTTAATCATATTCTCAATGTACAGTCTTTCTCATTACTACTGCTCCTACACCATTTCTCTTTGTTTTTGTATTCATATTGTTCATTTCGTCTCACTGCGCCAATCTGCTACAGTGACTTAAAACAACTCACTTCTATGCCAGGCTCTAAGTTGGCTGATTGAATTTGTGATCAATAACTCATCATTTTAATTATCTGATCGTATTTTCCTACTAATTAACAATTTGTAACCATCACCATATACTAACATGAGTGGTAAAGGTTATCAATAAGAAATAGTTTGTAAAGTTACACTATTCTTATATTACATTAAATATGGGTTAACTTTCAAGTAGTAACACATTTACACTGTATTGATTAGCTAGGATTTATTTATTCCTATTATGGTTCTATAGGATGTTTGACAACAACTGAAAGACAATAGCTTATCGTGCGATACATTATTTTTGTATGCAATCAAATAATTTTTCAGGAAATTATATTTATTTAGATAGAATCGTTATTCAGATATGATAATGACATCCACTTATCTTACTGAGTATGGATTTTATGCAATAATATATGTTTACTAATTTTCTCTTATCAAGGGTGGTGGTACTGGTGGTTCTATTCGGGATGCTGGTGGGGCGTTCGGCAAATTAGAAGCACGTAATGAGGAAGAATACTTCTATAAATTGGTAAACAACTATGTCATCAATATATATATATATATATATATATATATATATATATATATATATATATCACTATTGCTAGTCATTTCATACACTTTATCCTTCCTTTTTTTCAACCACATTTCTCATGTTTGGTTTTTAACTACAGCTAGTGATCTGGTTTCCTATGTGAGCCCTTGTTACTTTGCGGTCATCACATAGTGGGAGGATAATTCTTCAGATACCTAAGAGCAAAGCTAAATTGTTAGTGATCTTAGAGATCTGGGAGCGAACCCCAGACTGCAAAGGTCAACTGCTTGAGACTCGTCACATACTGCCTTTTCCGGAGAAACTTTTAGTGTCTTAGTCTTACCGCTCTCCAAATGGCCTTCGTAGCATGGTAGAACCCAAAGGAATAAGTTCCCCTGCTGAAATAGCTTTATTGGGTCATCATGATATCCAGTCCATATCAACATGTCAAGAGGTCAGCTACTCTTTATTTTGTTAATTCCTTCTGTTATTACATGGATATGAAAAATGGGACAACTTGCACCGGTACATACTTATTCCAGGAACTATATTTTTTAACTTATGGATATCAAATTAATTAATTAGATGATGTAAGATGGTACCTACTGTTTATATATATATATATATATATATATATATATATATATATATACCTTGGTCCAGATGCGTTGTGTTGTAAATATAGATACAAAACTGTTGTGATTCGATCACGATATGTGAGACTACTTAAGAGTATTTATTTATTCAAACACATAAATTTTGGTAGAAAGGGGTACCAAAATATATATGCGATAAACGAAATTTGTGTGAGGGCTTGGATAGGGCTTGGCTGCACTAACCAAAGCAGGTTGTTATTTTTAGAGGGTCACAACCCGAGCCTTTGGCCTATAGATCTAGTCCACAAGGTAGTGGAGCAGCGTCAGGAAATGCAGACCCATGGAACTTAGTGACCAACGATTAGTTTATACGCTATTTATTCCCTAATGATCCTGGTCCCCATGCGTATCATTGGTTTGGAATCAGTTTACCAACTTTCGTAAATGGATTCTTCGTACCCATAAACTCTGTTTACGCTCTATTAAAGTAACTTTTTATAAAGTTGTGAATTATTTTTTGTTGTTGTTGTTGTAGCAACAACAACAGTTACATGAATTAAAGAAGCATTTAGAAGAGGAACATGAACGTGAAAAGAAGGAGATCAAACGACTTGAAGTAAGTTTTTCGACTGTAATGTTACTTTTATTCAATCTACTGTATCGTAACAAGCTGGAATAACCATTGAAGCTAAGTGTTTATGAATTCATTAGAGATTCACAAATTACTATCCTTCGATCTTCGAGACATTCTTCGAGTTTTATGACAACTCAGTTAACGAGATCGGGAATCTTTATCTACTGAAGTTTTCGCGATATGTGTTATCTATGACCCCGTATATTGCCTACCTCATCACTGAATTGATAGTTGGAGTAGATGTAGGTTGGAAGAAAGTTTTGTGCTGGCCAAACCAAAATGTAGTTTCAATCTATTAAAGCATTGACTGTTGAACTAGAGTATATTGGCGGATCCAAACCACCTTGTTGTATTTTGCGTTATCATTAGTTAGAGACGTTCGGTAACATAACTCAGCATAAATGAAAGTAGTTCATAAGTATCCAATCTTTACCTTCATCTGGATATTAAGTTTCAGTATTTCTGCATCCATACTTTTTCATTCAGCTTTTTTCAAACAGTATCTTCAGTGTTTAGTTTTGACTATCGTTATTATTATTATTATTATTATTATTATTATTATTATTATTATTATTATTATTATTATTATTATTATTATTATTATTCCGACTCTTTCCCATTCAACTTGTTGATTTTATATCATTGTACTAATCTGGTGCGTCGAGTTAAGCTCTGCGTTGGTTATGACCAACTAACTATTTACAACCTTCATAAAATTATGCATATATAGAACCTAGAAGAATGACACGTGAGTTATCGATAACCTCGCTGTGTTGAAGAGATTACAGTATCACCTAAACCCGCGAACAGAAAGGTCAACAATACAACAACAGGTCAAGCTAAACTATTCCAATACTCCCCAGCCCTGCTAACAAGAGGGGGAGGACCAGATTCAATGGAGGGAAAAGTATTTTCCACGAGCAGCCAAAAGCACGGACAAACAAGCACACGACTAAAGCGTATATATACATTATAAATATATCTTTAGGAAGCGTCACAAAATGGAGTATTAAAGGAGGAAACGAACCAATTGCATTTAGGGTCCTTCCAAGTAGTAAATAGAATCTGAAGGTAAAAATGGGTGCTTTTGGCGCGAAAATGAGAAATTCTAATTTCCAAAATAGGACGTTTACCTAGTGACTTTTAAGTATCTAGCATCCCCAACACCTCCCCTTTTTAATAGCGTATGTTCTTGGCGTTCACTTGCATCTTGACCGTTTGTCGCCGTTTTCGAAGTGACCACCTTTTAGAACGTAGGTTGATTTTTTGTTGTACTTCTTGCGTGGTGACTTCAGGAATGTTAAAGATATCTAACAGAACTTGGAGCTGGAGATTTGTGTTTCTCGACGGGCAATCTAGGGCTAGCCGTTTCCGTAGCTAGTTTCGGTGTCGAATCCACCTGTCTCTTCCTACCTCAACTTTTTACATGACTTGGCCCAGCCTCCTGATCACACGTGCTTCAGTCCAGGGATCATGGTTTGGTATGTAGTCCCGAGCAAATACCGGACATCCTGCCTCTTACGTCGGCAGCTCCTGGTGTAGTTTTCGGAAGTACCAGGTTGTGGATCGTCCTCAGTCTTTTTCCCATGAGGGTCTCTGCTGGGGACTTTGCTCCGATAACGTGTCACTGGGCGTCGTTCGATAAACAAGTAAGAAGTTCTGTGGTATTTCGACTGGCATCCCCTCCCCTTTTGACTTAAGTCGGGCCCTCTTAAACGTGTCTACAAACCTTTCTGCTTGGCCATTCGACTGGATGGTAAGGAGAAGAGCGGAAATATTTGGTGACTAGCCGTCGGCAGAATTCTTGGAACTGGCTGGAAATGAACTGCTAACCGCTATCTGATACAGTTACATCAGGTGATCTGTCCCGGTAGATCTCCGTCAACAGCTGTGGTGTTTTGATCGTCGTTGGTGGCATGGTAGAGAGGACTTCTGACCATTTCGAAAACACATCGACTACAACTAAATAAGTAGTCCCATTGATTGGGCCAGTAAAGTCGATATGTATCATGGACCAGGGATATTCAGGCTGTGGCCATAAAACCGGCGGCACTTTAGCGTTAAATTTCGTCGCTTGTTGATACTGTGCATTCACTTACTAACTTCATGATGTACTGGTCCATGAGAAACCAATATACTTAACTTCGAGCCATGAACTTCATTAGTTTTACTCCAGGATGACCAATAAGAAATTGCTTCAACACCTTTGGTCGTGGAGATTCTGGCACAACCACTATCTCTCCAAACAATATATGTACTGAAGTTGACTAATCTGTTGATTTCAAATTTTTGTCTTGCATTATTAATTGATGAAACTATTACGCTTCTTATTTTACCTCGTTGTCTAAGTTAATTGGTAAATTCTGCTTTTTTTAAATTATGGACCATACTGTGTGACCTCTATGTATGTAATTAATCAATAACTTACTGTTTATGTGTTCGCCATACAACCTTACTTCTATGTGTATTCAGGTATATGTTATCATACGTATCGATCTTGCAACACATTTGAAGAAAACACTTTATCTATCTAGACTATATTTATATATCGATCTTGAACGGTGTTTACATTGCTTAGGAAAATGGTAAAGTACAATCTTCATGCAGTCAGTTGTTATCTATATCGAGTCTAGTACGCAGATATGTGCCTATCCAAGGTGCCATACTGTATTAGCACAATGAGATGAAAATACCGAGATGAATAGCAGTAGTATTGATTCTCATTCGACGAATTGTTCCATAAGAGTTAAAAGATCATTTAAGGGTAATTTCATATCACAGATAATTTTGATCACTATTTGATATGAAGTTGTGAAACCATAGAAGCAGTATGGATATTTGACATTGTTCACTTACAACTGTTCACCGGAGTCAGACTTAGGATTTTCATATTTCTCAATAGTTACATAGTTTTTTGACAAAATTCATCTAATCGAATAGAAATATTTAAATTAATAATTCAGACTTGAGACTCATCCGATTGTGAATAAGATGAGATATGCCTATTGAAATAAATCATATTTCTGCTTAATTGTTAATTTGCGGTAACCCAGGTCTTTTTCCAGAACCAGTAGCTTCGTAGTTAAACCATGTAGCCCTAACTCTTCAGGTAGTCAGTTCCAATAGCGCAAGACTGAATTCAATTCTGTGTAACCGATTGCTGTCACTACCGCTCATAAACAATGTGACTCAAAGCGGAGTACATAAACCTGTACTTGTTAAATGATATATATCATATCAGACTTTGATTCTGGGTACTAGGTAAAGATGGCATATGGGTTGATGAAGTTATTTTAGATATGTGTCAAGTATCCCCAACTACCCCCTATTCCGAAGCAACATGTTTTCTGGTGTAGGAATAGGTTGGAAGAAAGTTAGGGGTGGCCAAGTTAGGATATGCATAGTATTAGTTCATAAAGTCATTGATAGTTGGTTTGAGCCATGCTGATAGGTGTGAACTACCTGGTTGGAGTCACCGCGAGTCATCCACACTAGCCCAGGCGCATTTACGCTTTATCTTTCCATGGTTCTTGAACCTTGGAATTTCATACCTTTTTGTTCATTTTTTTTACTACACCTAACCTTTTCGAGTACTACCCTATTATTTATCTTTATAATTTCATCGAACTTTTGATATGTCTAACCAACTTTAACTGGTATATATATATGTTAGGTTCTACGTTTCATTATAACTGACTGACTGAACCTAAAGGCTGTCGATGCGCAGGAAATATAACAGTATATATATGATGCAGTAAGATTTGCATCAATGAACAATTGGTTATCATCCTATTTCGAGTTTGATCAGTAAAAGTTAATGATACAAAGAATATATTCTTCCACTACTAAATATACAGTTGAATTAGGTTATAAGCTCGATCTCAATTTAGTCTTTGTAGCTTTATGTAAAAGGTGTCTTGAGCCAAATACTTAGATTTACTGTGAAACGTTGGCTTAGTCATATGAAAGTTCAGATCTTCCCTGTGTATGTGCATATAAGAGCATAGTTTTCTCTAGGAGATTCCATTCCAATCATTTGAAGCCATCCACATATCTCTTCTACAAACACTCTACTGTGGTTAATTTCAGCATACCGGATAAAAAGCAAATAAATTGAAAGGTGCATCATGAAATAAAATATGTAGTAAAGATTATGCTGTGATATACAGCATTTAGTTACTGAAATGCTTGGTACTACACTGTTGGCGGGATTCAGATTGGATCAAAGCATATTCCGTACAGGATTATGTTGGGGCACGTCTTCAAATTGACACAACATCCGGCACCATCCTAGTTTCTAGAGAAGCGTATAACCTGCTTGGGAAACCGCCAATGAAGCCGTCTAAGAAGACCGCTAAAAGCTCATCAAGAGGAGTGCTAAAACTGGTTGACGAACCACAGTGTGAATTTTCCTTCATTGGAACTAACTGTGAAGGAATATGCTATCTAACAGAACAGTCGAACTTTGATCTTCTTGATCTAGATATACTAGAAAAACTTGGAATAATGGATATACCTATTAACAGTGTCTACAACTTGTCGTGCTCATCATTGGACACCCCGATACTTGCAGAAAAGACAGGTGAAAGGTTTCTAGAAAAGCTAAAAAGAAAATTTGCCTCCATAATAGTAGATTCAGAAATAAGGTGTATAATAGCAGATGCCATTCGTCACACTCGAGTGTCATCAGAGGAAATCAGAGAAGAAACTCTTCAAGATCCAGTTTTACAAGTTAAAAAGTCCTACCTAGAAGGGTGGCCCTCGAAAACCAGCTTCACAGAGCTTCCGGAGTTTTATCAGCGCGGACCATCTCTCTCGATCATAGCCGACTATCTTCCGTTTGCCAAACGTGTCATAATCTCAAAGAAGCTGCTACCAACAATGCTTGAAGAGTTACGCGCGAGACATTCTGGAATAAATCTCATGAAAGCACTAGCACTAAGTCATGTATACTGGCTGCATTTAGACACTCAACTGGAGCAGCTATCCCGTTCGTGTACCAAATATGCATTAAAAATAAAAGTATCACGGAAAGCAGAGCTGCAATCACGGCCATCGCCACAGTCACCGTGGTAGCGTATACCTTTGGACTTTGCTGGTCTACTTCATGAACAAACTTACCTTCTAGTAGTTGATGCATACAGCAAGTGGCTAGAAACTGCACAGCCAGAAAACTACGTCAACTGTTTAGTCGTTTCGGGGTCCCAGAATTAGTAGTTAACAACAATCGAACACAGATTGCGTCTGCGACCTTCTCAGAATTTTGTCAGTGAAATGAAATCAGTCATGCCCGAACACCTCCATTCTATCCCCGATCCAATGGCCAGGTAGAAGGCTTTGTTGGTGTATTTAAAAATGCTCTTCAAAAATCAAAAAGGGATGGGACGACCAAAAAGATTTTAGGAACATCATGGGGTACAAAGACGATTGTTTACGGTGGATCAAAAAGTACTTACTATAGACTATCGTAGCAAACATCCTATATGGATAGCTTGCCGAATCGTGAAATGAACGCAAGTGTGGTTTACGAGGCGACAGTTAGATCAGGAGTTTGGGTAGGTCATGCTTACCAACTGAAAACAACTTCTAACACCAGCAACAAGACCAGACATAGAACACCTCTTGATGTTCTGGTGGACACCTTTCAAATCAAAAACTCTGGAACAGATAGGTCAGTCTCTGTGCGGGCAAAGAGTGGTACCACTTCATTATTGCCTAGAAGGTGGACAAATCGAAAGCACAGACCACTCTCGCGGTCTCAGTGGAACTCTAATACCAGATCTTATGAATCTGCTAGATTGGATTGTGATGGGGCACGCTGGCTGGCTATTTATTATCCGATCAGTGCTGGCAAAGACTTGAAACCCGAAAATCCTCGACTGTAATTGGCTCGTTTCTCCTTATTCTATACTTTTACTAGTTCTTCCTCCATTGAATTTAAAAACCATTCCATATTGTTAGTTGGTGTTTCTTTTGTTCGATATTATTACGATGGACTTTTCTCAGTGATGTGAAACTTCTACATTTTTTTATATTTCCTTTAGGAATCACTCAAAAAACGGAAAAAATTACTGGCTGATCTTGAAAAGAAGCATTAATTGACAGGATCAACCATTTTCATCGACTTGTATTAGATATTATAGACTGAAATTCCAATTAGCATGATATGTATCTGTGTATATGTAGATTTTCACATATCCAACAGATTTCTGTACTTAAAAGTCGAATGATGATAAATTACTGAATAATCTTTAATACTTTTTTCTATCTATTCTATCAGGTATAATTTCAGTCATTTTTGACTAATCGGTCCGATTAATAAGTTGTAGTGTTATTTTTATCAAAAGAGAAAGCAAAAATGATCCCTATGCGATCTCAGAAAAAACAACGCACGAAATCGCAATCGAAAAACTTAACAGCATAAGTTCTCTGTATAATCCAATCATTTTCTAACCTATTTCATAATAAAATAAAAAGACAAGAAGGGAAACTCAGGAAACTTATTCAGTCAGTCAGTCAGTAACAACGTAGAACTTCGTACGTACGTACGTACATCAGTTCGAGTTGCCATACCACATTAGCACTGAGATGCAGTCGTCGATTTTTATCCAGTAGTGGTAGAGGTAGTAAGGGTACAAGTAGTATTCGGAAAGATTAGGGTTTGAAGATGTTGTTCAAGGAGTAGAATCCAGTGAAATAGATTTGGAAAGAGAAAAAAAGAGACAAAGAGAATTTAGGAGAATACAAAGAGTCGATGCACCTGCGCCATTGTAAACGATTTTGAGTCATGCCATTCAAGGTCTCTAACCATCAGTTCCTTTGGTATGCAGATTCTAAGATTTCAAGTTTTTCGGCGTGTCAAATTGAACACAACTTCTGTTGGTTAATTCCCGTCAAGATTTTAGAAAGTATTTTATTTCCAAAACAAAAATATAAATTAAGAATATCTATTCTATCTTTTTATTCTTTGTTTTAAGGATCAAAGTATAGCATAGAATGACTAAATCCCTTTGACATGGTTGATACATTTACTTATTTTTTCTATCAATTAATGTTTAGGTTGCAAATTAGTCTTTGTCATTTATACGCCTGAATGATTGGCAGTGGAGAAAGAATAACAGTTTTCGGATATTGTGTTATATTAGTGTTTTCGAAATAACTTCCCACCTTTGACGAAACTTTCTATTAAGTAAATATAATAATACATGCAGAATTCTAAGTAACATAGAATTCTGCGCGGCAGTTCGTTTTGTTCTACTTTATGGCTGCGAAACGTGGTCATTAAGGTTAGAAGATACTCGTATGCTACTAGTATTTGGACACGACTCAGAAATATTGCTCGCATCTGCTAGGATCACCGGGTAAGTAATAGTGAGGTTAGACGCAGAGTATTAGGGAATGATGGTAAGTCAGTTGATGAGGTTGTGAATCTTCATCGACTGAGATGGTTGGGCCACGTGCTACATATGTCTGAACACCGATTACCACGACGCACAACGCTGTCTAGTGTTGGGAATGGTTGGGAGAAAGTTAGGGTCGGCCAAACTAAGACGTGGTATCAGTGCTTGAAGTCAATAACTTCTAGTCCGAGCCATGTTAGTAGATGCAGACTACTTGGTTGGGGTCCGGTGTGACTATCGTAACCAATGGTTGGAGACTCTTGGTGACATGGCTCAGAATCTATCACAATGGCGTCGGTGTATACATTGTTTGTCTTCCCTTAAACTATCACATTAAAATTGCTCCATATCTTTCTTTCTACCAATCCTTATACACAATCTTTCTTTTATACATTAGCATTGAGGTGACTACTTCTATGAATCCGGTGTTTATCTTGTTGTGCTAATGAGATGTGGTAACTTGGACCGATGCATATATATGCCTTGTGCTACATTGTAGCTGACTGACTAAGTAATATAAGAAAACTAATTTGTTAATTATATTAAAAAACCATCGGAATTATGGTGCCCTCAAATGCCCTAGTACGGCCAAGAGTGGAGAGAGTCAGCTCTCCCTCTCGAAATGCTCTCACATGGCCACACGTATATAGCCTCTGCCAGGGAAGTCCTACTCACTGCCTTCTCGTGGCGGGGGTGTTGTTTACGAAATTAAGAGGACGAAAAGCGAATGTCCGGCGCCTTAACCGGATTCCAAACCAATGGTGCACATAGGCTCCAGTATCCTGCGGGAACAAATGGCGTATGAACCAATTGTTGGTCACCGGCTTCCATGTGACTGCATCTCCTTACCGTGCTCCACTGCCTTGTGGATTAGACCTTCAGGTCGAAGGCTCGGGGAGTGGCCCCCTAAGAAAACCATTTGCTTTTGTTTGGGCACCCGGGCAGTATCACAGCCCTCACACATATCGAATGGGAATTGTGTGGCGCATATGTATTTGGTGCCTCCTTGTACCAATATTTTTGTGTTAAAATAAATAAATACGATACGACTTAATATAACCTCGATGCGGAGATGCAATAATATGAGTAAAATAACCTTAATATTAATGACTAGATAATGAATTTTTAAATTTCAATGAGTATAATGTTAGATATACATCTAAATGATGAATGAGAGCAGGTGTAATACTGAAGTTTTGTTTTAGGTCAATGTTTAATTTATCTAAATGTTCACTATGAACAATTTTGTATTATTGATTTAGTTAGTTTAGTCAATGAACCACATTTCTCATATATACTGATACAATCGGACACACTTTTACTTTTTTTTCTGTAATTAAGGATTATGCACTGTATTGCTGATTAATAATAAGTCTTAGTTCAAATAATCAAAATAAAATGAGTTAAACTTCACCATATAACACAAGTTAGTGGCTGTTTGAACTCAGTAGCTAAGTTGATGGCTAATAAGAGATTGATCAATTGCAGTCCTAAGCTCCAATGCAAAGATTCAAACAACCAATACAAGGTAAGCCTTAATGTCAACTAATTTTGAGTAGTTCATTTAAAAACTAAGCGAATATAATGAGCTTGTTAGGTGTTACATTGATCCATTTAACCTTAAGTCTGGGTTAAAAAAGTCATAATAGAGAGGAGGGAAGACTATTCATATTGTTCCGATGAAGGTAACTGGGTCATATTTTAGGGTATATATTGATTTTCACTTTGTACTTCCCACTTAATTTGGCGAGTTTTAGTGGCAAGACAACGGGATTGAATTTTCATAGTATTTATAATTTGTGTAGAGGATTTGTTGAAATTATAGAATTTTCACAGTTCAAACCGCGAACACATCTTAAGTATACAGCCATTAGAAACCTGAAAGCACTGGAAGGCCATTTCGTCCTATTATGGAACTTCTCAGTGAACATCGAAAAGCCTGCATCATGAACTTTTCCCAGTATGAGACTTATAGAAAAAAATACTCATGATTCCATCAAAAGTCGGATTCATGACCATATCTTCGGCAAATATTTGGTTTGCGAACTAATAAGTCGGCGTATAATTTTCTACGTGTCTACGATAAATTTGTAATATTGTGCAACCATCTTCCGATGCTTTTCTCGAGTGACTGTTGTTCATTCGACTTGTTTGAACTCTGTTGATTACAGCTTAATACTAGAACCTCGGGGATTCCCGAATCTAGTCACTTACTTACTTACGCCTGTTACTCCTCGTGAAGGAGCATAGGCCGCTCACCAGCATTCTCCATCCAACCCTGTCCTGGGCAATCCTTTCTAGCTCCGTCCAGTTGTAATTCATCCTTTTCATATCTGCTTCTATTATCCGACGCAATGTGTTCTTTGGCCTTCCTCTTTTTCGCTTCCCTTCAGGATTCCAAGTTAGGGCTTGCCTCGTGATGCAGTTCGACGATTTGCGTAATGTATGTCCTATCCATTTCCATCGTCTTTTCCTAATTTCTTCTTCAGCTGGAAGTTGGTTTGTTCTCTCCCACAGAAGGCTATTGCTGATGGTATCCGGCCAATGGATGTTGAGTATCTTGCGTAGACAGCTATTTATAAATAGTTGTACTTTCTTGATTGTGGTTGTTGTAGTTCTCCAAGTTTCAGCTCCATACAGTAGAATTTCCTTGACGTTCGTATTGAAGATTCTCACTTTGATATTGGTTGAAAGTTGTTTTGAGTTCCATATGTTCTTCAATTGTAGGAATGCGACCCTTGCTTTGCCGATCCTCGCCTTTACGTTTGCATCTGAACCTCCTTGTTCATCGATGATGCTTCCTAGGTATGTGGAGGACTTTACATCTTCCAGTTTCCCCATCAAGAGTGATTGGATTGCTGTTTTCCGCTTTGAATTTGAGGACCTTGGTTTTCCCTTTGTGTATGCTGAGGTCTACTGATGCAGAGACTGCTGCTACACTGGCTGTCTTCATCTGCATCTGTTCGTGTGTACGTGATAGAAGGGCTAGGTCATGTGCGAAGTCCAAATCGTCTAATTGCTTCTGAGCTGTCCATTGTATTCCATGTTTTCCTTCAGATGTCGAGGTCTTCATAATCCAATCGACCACCAGAAGAAAGAGGAAGGGAGAGAGTAAACAGCCTTGTCTGGCTCCGGTCCTTACTTGGAATGCATCCGTCAGCTGTCCTCCATGCACTACTTTGCACTGTAGTCCGTCGTATGAGTTCCGGATAATATTGACAATCTTCTCAGGAACTCCGTAGTGTCGAAGAAGTTTCCATAATGTCCTCCTATCTACACTGTCGAATGCCTTTTCATAATCAATGAAGTTGATGTATAGTGACGAGTTCCACTCAACTGATTGTTCGACGATGATCCGTAGTGTTGCAATTTGGTCTGTGCACAACCGATCCTTACGGAATCCAGCTTGTTGATCTCGAAGTTGGGCGTCTACTGCATCCTTCATCCGGTTCAGCAACACTCTGTTGAAGACTTTCCCTGGTATTGACAGTAGTGTAATGCCTCTGTAGTTTTCACATTTGCTCAGATCTCCTTTCTTTGGAATCTTGACGAGGTGTCCTTCTTTCCAGTCCATCGGCACTTGTTCCTCCTCCCAAATCTTTTTGAATAGAGGGTAAAGCTTGTGGTTACTTCGACGTCTGACTTCAGTGCTTCAGCTGGTATGTTGTCGGGTTCTTCTGCTTTCCCGTTCTTGATTTGTCTGACGGCCATTCTGATTTCTTCCTTCGTTAGTGGGCTGACATCTATAGGAAGATCTGTGTGTGCTGCTTCGATGTCCGGTGGATTCATTGGAGCCGGCCTATTCAGGAGTTCCTCGAAGTATTCTACCCATCTGTTACGCTGTTGTTGAATTTCGGTGATTGGCTTGCCTTCTTTGTCTTTGACCGGCCTCTCTGGTTTACTGTATTTCCCTGCTAGTTTCTTCGTTGTATCGTGAAGCTGTTTCATATTTCCTTCTCTAGCAGCTTTTTCTGCCGTCGTTGCTAATTCTTCCACGTATTTCTTCCTGTCGGCTCTAATGCTCCTCTTCACTTGCTTGTTTGCTTCTATGTATTCAGCTTGTGCTTGGACTTTCTCTGCTCGTGTTCGGCTGTTGTTAATTGCTGTCTTCTTGTTCTTCCTTTCTTTGATCTTGTCCAGTGTTTCTATAGAGATCCATTCCTTATGATGGTGTTTCTTTAGGCCCAGAACCTCTTGACACGTTGAAGTCAATGTTTCTTTGATGCCTTTTCAGTTGTCCTCCATGGTAGTTTCTTCTTCCTTCAGTAGATCTTGAAAGGCTTGGAACCTGTTGTTAAGAGCTATCTTGAATTCATTGAGTTTGTCAGTATCTCGAAGGAAGGCTGTATTGAACCTTTGTAGTGCTGTTTGTCCACTTGTCCAGTACTTTTTTAGCTTCAGTTTTAAATTGGCTACAACTAAGTGGTAATCTGAAGCTACGTCAGCACCTCTCCTGGTTCTCACATCTTCCATTGTCCTTCGGAATTTTTTATTGATGTAAATATGATCTATTTGGTTCTCTGTAGTGTGGTCCGGTGAGATCCATGTAGCCTTGTGTATACGCTTGTGTGGAAATATTGTGCCTCCTATGACCAATTTGTTGAATGCACATAGATTTGCAAATCTTTCTCCATTTTCGTTTCTTTCTCCCAGTCCATGTCGTCCCATAATATCTTCATATCCAGTGTTGTCTATTCCGACTTTGGCATTTAGATCTCCCATCAGAATAGTTAGGTCCTTCCTTGGGCATTTCTCAATGATTGACTGTAGCCGCTCGTAGAACTGATCTTTAACGTCGTCGTTGCTATCATTAGTGGGTGCATAACATTGGATAATATTCATTAAGATCCCCTCCTTCTTTGTTTTGAATGATGCTTTGATGATTCTGGATCCGTGAGATTCCCGTCCTACAAGTGCATTTCGTGCTACTTTGGACAGCATAAGAGCGACTCCCTGAGTGTGTGGAGCGTTTTCCTCTTCGTGACCGCATTATAGCAGCATCTCTCCCGTAGCTAGCCTTTTCTGTCCAGCTTGGGTCCAGCGGGTTTTGCTGATTCCCAGTACTGCTAAGTTGTATCTCCTCATTTCCATTGCTATTTGACTGGTCTTCCCGGTTTCCCACATTGTTCAAACGTTCCATGTACCTATAAAATTTTTTGCTCTGGTTGTTAGAAGGGGCATCGGCCTCGTGGCTTCCGAAGGAGCTCGGCTTTCACCATGAAGCGTCATAATTCTTCTAAATGAAGACCCTCTAACTCCCAGGGCAGAGTTAAAATGGTTTGGATCATTTTTCCTGGTAAGCGTTGTTTTAGCGAGTTAGTTTTCTACGGGATGGGGACGCTAACCCCATGCCCAACCCTCCTCCTTTACCCGGGATTGGGACCGGCAGTAACCCTATAAGAGCTACAGGCGGAGTTCATCTAGTCACTAGTAGTCACATAATTATTATTTAGTATAAATGGTTTGATAGCGATTGTTGAATTTTAAGGTTAACATCATGAATTGACTATTGATAACTAGGAAGCATTGCTATGGAATCCCACACAGTAACTAAATATCTGTCTTGTGTCCACTGGTTTACTAGCTATGATCATTCCGTGATGTAAAATATAAAATTTAACAATATTCACAAATCCCCCATAACGAATAACATATAGATGTGCGGATGGATACTTGTGCCTATGTGATTAAGCAATTCCTCAGGTTGAAATTTTCAATAGTCACTAAAGAAAACAGCTGTTACGAACCCATTAATAAATGAACAAACAATAACCAATTTTCTTAGGGCAAAATCTGATACAAGTAGAAAGAATCATAACAATACTACTATGAAGTGCTTTTTTTAATTTATTGTCCAAAAGTATGTGATTAAACTGACTGAAATTTATTGCATACAATACAATGTATTTTAATAGATAGACTTTGTCTTCTCATTATCACTACTACTGTATAATGCATGTGAGATGTTTTCGGTTGTTCATTCATTTACATATTTATTGTGTTAAGGACTTATGTAGAACGTTGACTTAATGGTTTGGACGAAGACTGAATCTATTTGTCTACATGCATTGATATAAGCGAAGACATCATAGCGTTTGACCGCTAATTGATGTCCATGAAGACAATGACGAAGGGGGTGTTCACTTTGTCCAGCGCAGTGCTTTTCGCAATTGAAACAATCTATTTTTTAGATACTATGGGCACACATTCGACTGGAAATATGTTTAGATCTTGCATAAAGGAAATAATAAAAAATATCTGAGAATTTTCAGAGGCTTGGCACTCATTTTAATCACCAAACAAACAAACAAACATCGAAACTGATCCAATCTACCAGCCAATCGGAAAAGTCATGGACAAATATAGGACTAATAATCAGATCAAATGGAGATTCCATACAAATAGAGAGGTAAATAATGACAGGTTAAAGGTCAACAATAACCAATTAAGATCGAGGTCGACAGGAAAAGCCGTGAATCATATGTGGTGGAATTCGAATACTTCACTTTTACCTGATGATTTTCTGGAGCACATCTGAGCTGCAAATCTTCACCATCTCAAAGTACACCTGGACATAAGCACTGTTTCAGGGAAGGTTGATGTTCAACTCTTCCTAGTATTTTCTATCATATACTTCTTTATTGTCTTCGACCTGAAAGATCAGTCCACTGATTTCATTGGACGTAGGGCAGAAATTTTTCAGCGTACGTTCCTTGTGCTAACCCACACGCGTACGTTTTGCATATATATTTCTACATAAACCACCCAAGCCAAAACTCATGCAATTCATATGCATAAGCATACACATCGGGTAGCCGGCGAGATTTCTGGAGAGCCCTGAGAACGGAACCCAGTTAATTCCGTTTACAACAGAGTGGTGGATTAGTCCGATCACCGCCGACCGACCAAGTTCGCTAGTACGGTTGCCCCTACTAACCAGCAGCATCGCGGGGAGGCTTTACATCGGATTTCGCTGACAAGATCTTAGTAGCATTTATTATACGAAGGTTAATCATGATACTCAGCTAAATTAATAGAAAGAGAAAGGACAATTTCGTCGGTTTGGTTCACTGTTTACTGTTACATCCCAGGAGTCTCCAATGTTAACCAGGAAAATTGGCTCCGTAACTGTAACTGCATAACCAACTGTTATATTTGAAGAGCCGTCGCTTTTATGTACGTATCAACCCTATTGAGTTTACAGCCTAACTGCTTTTACTTGACAATTGGGAACCACTGCAACTCCTCAATCCTACTGGTTATACAGGAGAACGACGATCACTACAATTCCCACGACGCAATCATTTATATGTCAAATTTTACACATACCGCATAATAAGAAATACTATGAGATACATAGGATTACTGTGAAGAACACTAAATATAGTTTACCTGAATTAATATACTAAACAAATTTGTCACATTGAACGAGAGTTCACATTTGTCATATAGAAGAAAGTTTATGCCAGATAGATACCAGAAAATAATGGCCTAAATAATGTTATCCTTCTATCATGTCATATTATTTATAATTTCAATAAAGCACGAATTTTGTAGGCATACAACATATTATGAATTCTCGTGATTCCGTTATCTCTTCTGCTACACGTCTGACTAATTACTGTTATAGTTATTGTTGCAATTCGCTTAAATTTTTCATCTTTAAGTTGAACTTCAGGGGATGTAACCATGTATTCTCTGAGTCCAGTATGATGCAGAAAAATGAGTGCTTGTTTAGCGCGTTTTCAAATATCTGAACATACATTGTAGAATGAGCGCCAGGTTCCTATCGAGCCTCTCCAATATTAGTTGATGGAAATGTAATCTATTTATATCCATCATTAAACTGGTTTTGTGAGTCGTCACGGTAAACACCGAAGTTTTTTTGACTATGGTCAGGCTTACCTACTTTGTCATCAAAATCAGTTGCCATAGTTACTGAGTTCAAGGGTTTAGGCTTTCAAAGAATGTAAGTAAGCTTTCTGCAAAACTCATCTTTTTCTTTAGTGGGAGCGTAAGCAGATATGTCGAAGCGATAGTCCCGTGTTCCTTTTCTTTGTCCTTACAGTGGTTATTTATCAGGCAACACAGGAGCACTACGTTCAGTTCTGAAGAGCCTGTCCTATCTTAGAACTTAATTCCATAATTAAACCAGCGAACTCACGAGAAGTAGCAGTCAAGTTTCCAGATAAACAGTGTTAATCGCACTGGTCCTCCACATTTGGACTCTGTATTTAAGTCCCGGAGATGTAGCAAATGTCAACGGCACGGGTTCTAGCTAATTAAGCCTATTGTGTAGTTTACAACACGTTTCAAACACTAAACACCTCAACGTGTAGATTTGGACGTGGTTTCAAGAAACCAAGAAACAACACTTCCTGAATTTATATCGTTTGCATTGTTGGCACATCGAGAAAAATACGGAACTATCGGACAAGAGAGATAGGTTGGATGAATTTGATCGTCAACAAGATTACCATAAGTGTTGCAGGATTGTAGTTATCACTTCCCCGTTGCCCAGACAGAAGTTTCCTTTTCATTTAGTTGCCCGTAAGTGAAACTGAATTAGTTATGATTTTACCAACTTTGAAGCGTGACCACTAGGCTTTTTTGTATGTAGTTTCCTATGAGTTAACTTTTAAAGCGTTACTCCCAAGGATGCGAATCTGTGCGACTAGATGAGGTGTGCTTTTTTGGGGGGTTAATCTTGCCAACCAATTCATTCCCTTTGTTAGAGGCTTGCATCACTTCAGATGCTAGCTTTTGGAGAGGAAAACATTTTATTCATACTTAACTACAGTCAGCAGTATAATTTCGCTTTCAGATCATGAGTTGTTTCGTTTAGTGTTATCCCTCCGCCCTTGACCTTCCTATTGCAGGGTATAGGGTTCGGATAGGTTGTCGTTTTTGATAACTCTGACCACCTTATCTAGGTAACAGCTACTGTCTGATGTTGTTGATTTAACCAATCTAATTAAAGAACTTGCTTATTAACTTACAGTTTTTTTAATATGTTTATAGCACTATACAAATTATGTTTGAAGGATCAGAGCCTGGTTGTGGAGCAGGAAAGGTAATTCTGAAATAATTTTCTTTACGAATCCTGCCAATAATAATAATAACATCAACTTTTTACCTTGACAACAATAGATTTATCAGTCTGTGTTCTTCTATTGAACAAAAAGAACAGTCAATGTTGACGTCAGTTCTGATGGAATGAATTACTCGATGACATAATGTTTAAATGTCAGAAATATTGTGGCAGTAACAAAAAAATGTTTGAAAATACTCTTCTATGTTATTTGACCAGATTTGTGATACAGGTTTATGTGTTACAAGGATCTACCAACATGAACATTTAACATACCACTATTATATGACGGAGATGAATTTCTCTGATTCTCTATAATACGAATTGATGCTTGATAATATACTAGATAGATCAAGTAAGTTTGGTTCTTCACAATCTGATTATCTATTAAGAACAAAATATAAACCAGGATAATATTTTCTTGATACAGGATACAGAATCCCGCGAGGCGGCGTTGTGGATGAGCACTGCTGAGGAGTCCTACAATAGGACGAAACGGCCGCCCAGTGTTTCCAGGTTTTCCATGATGGTCTAGCTTCAATTGGCTCATGATCTCAAATATCAAAATTACTACAATCTCCACAAAACCTCTTCTGATATATATGTATATATAATTCTCTATCCGTTTTAGGGAGGTGGTGCCGGTGGTCCTATTCGTGAAGCTGGTGGTTCACTAGGCAAAAGGGAAGCCACTTTAGAAGATGAATACTTCCGACGTTTGGTAATCATTTAATATTATTAATAATTTTTAAATACCCTTTTCTTAGGATAAACAAAACATCGAAGCACTCAAAGATAAACTGAATAAGAAATCTGTTGTGGAGAATCAATCTTCGGTGGGTGTGGCATTTAATATTGACCATTAAAAGTATATATATATATATATATATATATATATATATATATATATATATATAATATTCATATAAGATCCTTGTGGAGATTGTTCAATGTTTCCAAGTCTATTTTCCATCATCGACTGACATGTCGACATGTCCACCAACCCGGTTAAAGTCCCGGACGTTCGCTTTTCGTTCTCTCAATTTCGTGAACAACACCGCCACGAGAAGGACTTCTGTGGCAGAGGCTATATACGCGTGGCCATGTGAGAGGATTTCGAGAGGGAGAGCGGACTCTCTCCACTCTCGGCCGTACCAGGGCATTTGGGGGCATAGATGTTATCATATTCATATGTTTGTTAATCAATCATAAATTTTCAATTTAAATCAAGAACTAATATTTACTAGATTACCACGGAAAATTTGCAAGAAGAATTGAATGCCTGTTTCATTCTAGCACAGGACTCCTTACTGGAAGTGTACATTCACAACTTTACATCCAGAAGTCAAACCTAATATCTTTAGTCTAGCTCACGAATGTCTAAACTCTAGATCAATTAGCCGGTATCCAATCGTGTTAGTGTCCAAATTCAGTCAATTCACGATATTACACAACTTTCGCTTGTTGTCTGTTGTGGATAACTTTTCGATACATCACAGATACCTGGTTTATAACTAATAATTTGACATACAGATGGGTAATTACTAACTAGCATCCATTCCATTCATTGTGTATAACACATCTTTTCGGTTTAAAAGGTAAAACGGTGAGTCCTAGAATTGTTAAAAGAGAGAGAGAGACAGGATATAATAGTAGTTAAACAACAGAAAGAAACAAGCATATAAGAAAATCATTTCTGTAAAGATTCTTGCCAAGTAAATAAGAAAATGCTCTGCACAATACTTATCACTGATATCAGTTAGCAAACAATGAATTCTATCCTGAAGAGTTAAAGATGCAGTCAATCACGGTCTGAATAACTCTATGATAACATCATTAATTCTGAAACTGGTTTAATTATCATGAGATGCATCAATCCCTGACGAGAGTATAATTTATAGACGACTTTTGAATGAATTTTAAGTGACGTTGAAAAGTGTTAATCAATCAGAAAACAGTTAGTATGTAGTAGAAACATTATGTAAAACCAAAGAATTAAAGTGGATACACTTCTTTTACATGGTTCAAAAACTTGTCAAGGTTAGAAAGAGATTCAGAGGTTTTAAAGTCGTAATGCATTCGATAGAGGAACTCATCCATATGGCTTTATAATAGTAGACCTCTGGAGTCATGATAAGGTCGCAAAAGCTATTTCAGCCTCGACCACATATCCTCAATATTGTTTGTGTGCACTCCGGTTGTGTAAGCTTATCATTTTTATTACACATATATCTCTACAATACTCATACCACTAAACAACCGAAGCTTCAGTAACATCAGCGAATGTTGCAGCCAATGTTACTGATGCTTTTATTATACAGTTCGCAACAAATATCAGAATTTGTCGTCGTCTCTATCTGAATCGAACGAAAAAAGTCCTTATTCTAGCAAACTTCTTCCTCTAACATATATTATATGAAAAGACAACATTATGGTAGTCTACACAAAGGTCAACAAGTCATTTGATTACCACAATAACAAATGAAAAAACTTCTCAATAATTCCATTTGTTGTAGCCGTTCAATTATCATATCTTCCCTAGAATCCTCTGTGAACCGATTGTATGTAAACCTCAAGTACTGAAATGGATGCCGTGACCTTGAACTCCCTCAAACGCTTCTGACTGACTCGTCCACAAATTGTAGTCTCTCCTAACCCCTTCCAAACTATGGAAACTTCTTGTTTTCATGAATACTAACTAACACACAAATCTAGATTAAATGCAAATCTAATCTTTCATTAAGTTATGTAATCACTTAACATTGACGTTAACACTTCATGTAACATGTTAACGGTTTGCATTATGTAACAGAGAAATAAAAGATTACTAGTACAGGGGTTGTTGAGATTATTAAGTTTTTGATTGAGATCATGAACCGACTGATGTTTCACGAAGCTAATCAAAAACTTAATAATCTCCACAACCCCTATACTAGTAATCAACATGTGCTCACTAGTGACTAGCTTCGTGAGCGAATTCTCGGAGTTCTATTGAGAAGCCGTGACCAGTGGAGCTAATCCATGTCGGGTAGAGACAGGTATCTACGTCAGTACAATGGAAGATGGTCACGCAATTTCGTGGATTGGTCGATGTTAGACACTATCACCATTGGATACCGGCTCAGTGGTCCAGTAGGTTAAGCGTTCGCGCGCGAGACTGAAAGCCCTGGGTTCGAATCCCGTGGGCGGGATCGTGGGTGCGCACTGCTGAGGAATCATACAATAGGACGGAAAGGCTGTCCAGTGCTTCCACGTTTCCAAAGGTGGTCTAACATCAATCGGTTCGTGATCTCAGTCAGAAATAAAAGATGTTTGGTAAATAATTTTTTATTTTATTTAGAAAATCTGATTCCTTTTTTTCTCTTCATTTACTTTTCATCTTCATTCAGAAGGAATCTAACATTTAAACGATGGATAATAACAATAATAATCTGTTTTACAGTTTTTTTAATGCTTTTAATAATGTGTTATACGCATAGTTTCATTATGTATTGACTATTCTATTTTTAAAACAACAAATATATCCTCTTTTTGCTTGTAAAAATCAATGTTGTGCTTTTCAATTGATTGTTCTATGTCATGTGTGGATCTAGATAGCTCAGTGGTAACATTTCTGACCATGAAATTGGTTGAAACTGGATCGAATCCGCCGGGGAGCACCAGTTCCACCAAGATTACAGGTTTACCTTGCTGACGAGTGCCAAGTAGCACAAAACGCGGGTCCAGGGTTTTCTATCGACTATCTCCAACCACCATCTAATCTCAATGTTGTGCTTTATTTTAATCCATTGATCTAGTCACTTATAATCAACTTAGAACCTAATACAAATTAGCGTTGGCTCAAATTACTATGCCAGATCAACATGACGAGTTGCAGTCGAATCCAAATACTATAGATAGCATTGATAATGAAAGAAAATATATATTGAGAATACAGCTTGAAAAGATAGTGTTGGAAGGCATATACGAAGAAATACTGAAATTCAAGACTGAATAGAGGATAAAGAGTCAATGAATTTGTGTAATGTTGATAGATTCTGAGCCAATATTACCTAAAGTCTCAAATCACTGATGACGGTTATTACGCTGATCTCAACTAGGTATTCTACATCTGCCAATATGACTTAGACCAACTGTCAATAAGTAACTGCCCTAACCACCTCAGGTGATGATTTATAACCCGATCGATCGATTTTCCTTTATTAACTAGTACCTCAATATTTCTCAATCGGTCGTCTCACGATAAGCAAATAGTTCTTCGAAGTACCTATTACAAAAACTTGGGTCTACATATGTGTTCTACTTCCAACAACCGTGTTTCATACCCAGGATTATGTAGAGAGACCTTAAAAAAACGTTTCACTTTATTGCTTGGATTTCTGTTGCTAACTCATCTAAAGACTACATGACCGACCGCAAGCGATTTTCCTTTTAGCAATGTGATCACTATACCAGTTTGTCAAGACCATGTCCGACCTAGTTTCATTTTCAAGCATCTCAATATCATTTGTTACTTCAAAGAGTATTTGAACGACAGTTAACAACTGCGTCACACCTCTAACAGTACTTGAGATCACTTCGTTCACAATCAAAACTTATCCGTTGATCTAATTGTTATTCTCCCGCTGTCATTGATCGCTTCTTTTAAAAATATATTTGATTGATTATGTAAAAACTGGTTAGATTAGTGGATTCACGCTTCATATGTCTTGTAAATTTACTAGCGATAAAGGTTAATGTTTTACACCGTATGCAATCATACTGTTTATCTTTGAATCTCACAAATATAGACAAAATTCTATGTTTATGATCTATGGAATAAAAATCTAGTACAATTAGGCACCAAAAATAGACTAGACTGCACAGAACAAGTTTGTGTGTAGGCTGGGATACGGCAAAATGGCCTAAACTGAAGCAAGTAGAATGTTAGGAGGCAACTCATCTAGGCTTTGATCTAAAGGTCTAATTAAAAAAGAGAATGGAAAAAGGTTAAGGGATGCTGTAACCGGTAGCCAAATATGGGCCCATACACCATTCGTTTTCTAGGGCCCTTGGAGCGCATGAACATTGTTCGTCAGGAATCAAGATTTTCAAAATTCCTCATGAAAGTTCTCTATATTCACCAACTCGTTTTCATCGTCAGACGTTCGCTTTTCATCTCCTTACTTTCGTAAACAACGCCTCTTTGAAAAAAAGTTAGTGAGTAGAACTTCATTAACAGAGGCTAAGAACGCATGGTCGCATATGGACACTTTGGGAGGGAGAGCGACCCTTCCCAAGCCTCGTGTGCACTAAGGCTACGATTAGGATTTACAAATAGAAGCTGTGGTTAAGAATTCATGTTAAAATTTTCATCACGAACTTACGTCATCTATAATGTCGAAATTTCATTTAACCATATGGATCAGTGAATTTCGCGCAAAAATCCAGGACTTACTATCTGTAAATTCATTAATTATTCCATAAATTATAGTCTCCCAGATTTCGTTATGGATTAATTTGTAGATAGACCTAATAACATCAAAATTTCGTACTAACTTATGAAGGGGAAAATATTGACCATTTGTCCCTTCTAAACAAACTTGTAGGTCGAAAGGAAGATTGGGTTAAAAAAACAATCAATTTACAGGAAGTTCACATGGACTGGTCAATATCTAACCAACAATTTTTGTCTACTGAAATACAGGTGAGGTTTGATAAGAAGCCTCCTGAAAATATTTCAAAGAATCTACATTACAAATACTATTGAAGATTTAAAACTGCTGACTCAAAAAAATGATATCGAACAGATATCTGTTGAAGTCCATATATCAGTTTAAAAGTGAATGAAAATTGGAACTCCTTATTAAGTTCTATTTCAAAGAAAAACATTTACATTACTGTAAAAAACAACAAAAAATCAAAATTAGACATTGAGTAACCCTATTCTTTTACTAAATCGATTATCATTAAAACATACTACTCAACATTGTATAAATTCTTACATTATATCTCACTGCACTTACCAATGTGTGAGCATAAGCACATAAGATGGAGTAATCAACCAATCCATCCTGAGGTCATATGGCATGTATCTAAATACTTTCATAATTAGTTATTGTCAAATAATCTGATAAACATAGGTGATGTGAACAGGGAAACAAGAAGCCCTGACAAACTACGAAAGCTGTGTTTCGGGACGTTATTTCATTTTATGCAAAGCTTGTAAAACATTAACATTTATTTTTGTCCCTAATCTATTCTACAGAACATGAGCTTTCGTTCGATGTATGATTCATTGCCATACCCTTCTCTGTTACGAAGCTATTGTAATTTAAACATAACATTTTGCACCCTATATTCTACTCTAATTCCCAGCTTTGGACATAATTGTACGTTGTGGCGGGTTAGTCACCTAATTATTCATGTAACTTTTTACACTAATCCGAAGATAATCAGGATATCGGGAATAGATCGAGTAGTGTTCCAGTTGTCTTGTCTTCTCTCATTCGCGTGCTTGTCAGCCAATCAGGTGATAGAATAGTCTTCTTCTCTCTACCCCACTTCGAACTCACGCGTACTAGCTTCAAGTTAGGTCGGTCAACCTATCGCGCCAAGGTCTTAATCTGGATTAGATAAGTATCCTCAGCACCAAAAGTGGGTAGACAGACCAAAGGACATAACAATAGGGAATAAAAAATCATTTTCCACGTTAGTAACACACATAGTTGTAACAGATCATAAGATTGATTTTAAAACACCTTAAAAATTGTTGTGTAGATACTGTTAAAGCCATACAGTTTTGGGGATTAGAAACTTTTTTGTGTAAATATAAACAATTTGTTTTAACCTTGAATCTGCCCAATTGGTTTTCATTAACAAGTATCTGTAACCAGATTGGTCATAAATCGATTACAGATCAACTCCGTTTTCCCATTACATGAAGTAAATCTATATAAATGGACTAGTTGTTTTATGCTGGGTTCTCTAAATAAGTTATTAATGAACCAGTTGTTAGCCAATTACTTTATCCAAATTTGAACTATTATTATGTGAAACGATCGCTTATCTTTTATCAAATTATGCTATGAAATGTAAGTTCCCCCTATAGAGAATATAAATAACGCAGTTCAATGTGTTTTAAACCATGACAATGGGATGTCTTTGATATCTGTAAGTAACTACTATTCGATCACATAGTGGAATCAGGTGTAGGATACTAATTAGACATTAGAAACGTTCTATAAGGCTGTGAATCGTCGTCAACAGAAATAGTTGACAGATGTGTCACACATTCTCAGCCACTGTCTCCGTGACGAGGGATCTTGGTTCACGTCAGACTGAAAAGAATTAGAAAAAGTCAACCCAAAACTTAACATCAAAACAAAGTTACTTACGCCTGTTACTCCCAACGGAGCATCAGCCGCCGCATCACAAGATATACACTTATTGGTTGGAATTAATGCAATAATCGCAATGTCTGGTTGAAGACTTCTCGAATCGATTAGTGGCACGGACACAGGTAATCTTTATCTTACTTTTGTAACTATGCCGAGTCTAGCTTTTTCTCTGAACAATAATTAGTTCGATTCACGTGCCTTTGATCTAGTTAATCTTCTTCCTGAATACATAGATGAAAAAGTGTGACAACTTGAAATGATGGTGCACATTTAGGCCAAGTTTTACGTTATGTATAACGTGAATACTGGCTAACTCATTCAAGACTTACTTCAACGAGTCTTCTCATCTATTGTTAATGATAATGTCCTTAATATCTGACTCCACATAATAATATTCCATTAACTGAGTATTTAAGGTATGCTTAATCTCCTAGTAGAATTACGGATTTACTCGAGATTATTAAGAAGCCTGAACACCAGTTATGGAGATAGTTTATTATTAATGAATAATGATAATCCACAAGCGTATTGTGAGCAAGCACACGATGGGAACAGAGAGAGTGTGAGTTTGTTAAAAATCCATATATATTTTTGAGGGTTAATCAGGTGTGTATAAATTATCGATTATCTGCACGTTGAAACCGATAGGAAAATAGTTTAAAAGTTAATGTACAGACATGCATTCGATCATACACACCGAAATTAACATAGTGAATTAAGAGTCTAAGTTACAATGAATAGACAGATGATACAGTGGCCAAATGGGCTTGCCACACTATACACCCAAACTACATTTCTGATAAATCTGTTACTGGAACGCTTATTATTATAACCCTAAACTACTTCTACACATTAATTCAAATAACAGAGAAAATGAGTAAAAGAATCCGTTTATTTACAGAAAATCGAGGGTGTATATAAATATGTACGTAAACATGATCTAGAACTTTCCGGAAACATATTTAATATAGTAACCGTATAGTTAAATATCCTATCAGAAGAGCAAGTTTCTGCCTGATCCTAATTGGAGGAAAACATCTCCTGACAATTTCGGGGTATGTAGAGAGTTTGGAATTTCCAAAAAGTTCAACTCCTAGATATATTAGATATGAAAAATCTATTGAGCTTCATTCTCTAAAATCTATAGGTTCCATGACTTTCCTGAGATCTTTATCTATTGGGTAAATGCAATACCATGTCAATAATTTCCTTTCGTACTACAGCCCTAAAATGCCCTGGTACGGCTGAGTCAACTCTCTCGTTCTCCAAATGATCTCACATGCCCACGTGCATACAACGACTGACAATGTAGTCCTAATCACTGCCTTCTCTCACCACGGGTGTTGTTTACAAACTTGAGAGAACGAAAAGCGAATGTTCGGCGCTTTAGCCGGGTCGTTGGACACAGAGAGTCAACCTAGGAGAGTTGGGAAACCCTGATTCCAAACCAATGGTGCGCATGGACTCCAGCTTCCTGAGGGAACAAATGGCATATGAACCAATCGTTGGTCACCGGCTAACATGGGACCGCATCTCCTGACGTTTCTCCACTGCTTTGTGGTTCAGAATTTTGTTCGAAGGCTCTGGGTGTGGCCCCCTAAGAAAACCACCCGCTTCAGTTTGGGCACTCGGGAGGTATTCCAGCCCTCACACAAATTGAATGATGTATGTGGTGCATATCTATTTGGTGACTCCTTGTACCATTGTTTATATGTTTAAATAAATAAATTTCGCACAACAAAACGAATCTAGTTATTCATTTAATACATGAGATCTCATTCAAAATTTATCCAGCCTCATCACATGGTTTAATTATTAGTTTTTGTATCATAAAACCTTGATTATCTGATACAGACTAAGAGTTCTTGGTACCTTGTTTGTTCTTAGCTTTAAGCGATCTTTACTACATCTTCGACTATAACTAAATGATAATCATTCTCTACTTAACACTTAGATCAGACCAAATACAATAAGTCATTACATTGTAATTCAATGTAAATGATGCTAGTAATCTATAATCATTATTATTGTTAAGAAAGAACACATGTATTCGCTTCGAAAATAAGCATACAGAGAGACTATACAAGAAGAAATCCATATAGAAATATGAGAAAACACACACATAATACAAAAAGGAAATATGCCTAATATAGTAGACAACAATTATGATCACCGGCTATTAGAAATAATTATAGAGAAATTTCAATGAACACACATGTATACACATTTTAAAAGGTCATAGCAACATATAGTACATTTAAATGAAAAGAAACTACACAAGATAATATTAAATGTAATAGAGTAAAGTGGATGAATTCACTTTGTAGAACTAACTACATAGTGAACATTAAACGAAAAGAAAAATGCAATAATGACAACATTTAAAGTGACAAAAAAAAAATACATCAATATATAACCAACCAACCACCCAACCACCCACCTACCTAGCTCATCTTAACAATCACAATTCACAATGGTGATTGTAAAGAAGACAAAGAAAAGAATGAGGAAAAATAATCGAGGAACTATTATACAATAACAAATGAGAATACTTTCCTTTTTTTAATGAATCAAATCTAGATAACACAAGAGATAGTATAGATGATAAACAAACATAATCAATGTTTTAGTGCTTATTCTATAAATATGAAAATTCAAAGTTTCGATTTCATTCATACTATACTTTACATGAGATTATAACAAGTTATAAAGTAACTAGGAAAAGAAGGTTAATAACACTACTACTACTACTCAGTTGTTTAGATGGAATTAAGAAGTGTGAAGGTGTGACTTAGTGAATAAAAGTTGAATGAATTAAAAATAACCAGTGAGCCACCACTGTTCCACGATTCAAAAAAGAGAGAGAGGGAGAGGAAATCCAAGAAGTTTTACCAGTGAATTATGTACATGAAGAGAAAAGGTTTGTATGTTCTTTCTTCTTCTTCTTCAAAGTTAGTAAAAATCTTTATTAGTTCTCTTAAGAAATCCCACTACATTCATATACCATGACATAATGTAGAGAGAAAAGTGAAGTAAATGAAACCCGGAAAAGAGACAAACCACAAGAAAGTAAGAGGTTGAGTAAAATTTTCTTTTCTTTTTTCAAAACAAAAAAACAAACATACAAAGACACATACATGTGAGATCATACTGGACTTTGATGACGATGATGATGATTATTTAATTATACAATTTGTATTTGATGACCATTCGACGTTGAATCGATCAATTCAAATGCATTATTATTATTATTATTATTATTATTATTATTATTATTATTATTATTATTATTATTATTGATGATAGTTGGATCAGAGGTAATTGTCTGATGTAATGCAAGTTCCATTTCCTTCTTTGTTTCTTCACTTTCGATATTTTGTTGTTTTTCTTTGTGTTTTGTCATCAAATCGAATTGACGTCTTTGAAATAAGTGAAACAAAGAGAAAGGAATGTGTGTATTGTATGAGAAGAGAACAACTAAATTATACATTAAAGTGATAATGATAATGATTACGATATTGTCTCAACAGATCAAAATGAAAATATTATAACAACAGAATAAAATGAATAGTTTGGGAAGTTACACTAATTAACTATCATCGCTCTTGTATAGTTTGGATCAAGTTTCATCGTATATTAATAGTTTAGGTGGGTTTTTTCTATGATGTGCATCGTAGTTTGGTTCTAAGTGATAAATCAAAGCGATTAATGAGAAGCTGTGTTTGATATAAGCTTCATAGTAAATGGAATATTTTAGTAAGATGCAACTGTGATCTTCACGTGAATTAAGCTGTCTATGATATTGAAGTCTATATCAATGTCACAATTAGAGATGTTAATACGAAGATAATCAAATTGTGATTGATAGGGAAATGTGAACTGTTTGTTAAACGATATTATAACTCTAAATCTCGATTCCAATTTCTCACACTAAGTCATAACCTTCCTTAGACCCTAGGTAGGGTAGTTGAACTTAGCGTCACTTTGCAGCCGTTCAAAAAACGTTTATAAATTATAGTATCACCGCTAAGATTATATCGTAATATTTATCAAAATTGTGTTACTCGTCCTTTATTTATATATTTTGCACAAAATTTGATACAACTAGGTACAAAAACAAATATAAAATATCAGTTTGAGGATTTGTGGAGATTGTAGTATTTTCACAGTTGAATTCATGAGTCGATCTAAGGTAGACAATCCTTAAAAACCTGGAAACACTGGACTGCCGTTTCACCCTAGTACATGGACTCCTCAGCAGTGCACATCCACGCAGGACTCGAACCCAAGACCCTCAGTCTCGTGTGCAGACTCTACCTTCAATCGATCCATGATCTTGAGCAAGATCATGACGTTGTCCAAAGAAGCACGAAAAGCACTTATAGGATAGAAATCTGACGGACCTAGAATCACCAAAGCATTCTTAAGACCAAAAGAGAGAATTACGATGAATTTTATTCAAGGCCATGCTCCCACCAATGATGAAAACAAAGACGATAGAGACTAGTTTAATGAGAAGTTGCGGTAGAGACATGTTCAGGAAAAAACCTGATCAACCTGATGACAGATCTGAACGCCTAAATCCAAATATACAATGCCTGGAATTTCTAAGCTTGCTTTCATTCCATAAATCGTAGTCATACGTCTGATTACTCCAGGTTTATCATTGATTAATCATTCCCCTATTTACTTCGGTTCTGTGTCACATGTGACTAAGTTATGTACACTAATTGTGTTGCTCTGTGGTCAAAATATGTCAAGTATATTATTGTATGAGCTTTGAGTCATGATTGAATTGAGTACAATACAATAGATCCGCTCTCTCTACCTCCGTCTTCCGATTGGCTACTGGGTTAGAAAGTGCTCGAAGACAAACAATCGTTATGATCATGGCTGTTGTTCGTTGATCGATGCGTCAATTAGTAAATGAAAGATTACCAGTCCCAATAACAATATAGGTGAACTAATCAATAATCGAACTAGGAAGAGAGAGGGAAATCATACAACTGCTTTCCTGTCATTACGGCCCAATACCTGCCCGAACAAGCAATCTACATAGATAAAAACACAACAACAATGCTTACTTAGCTAACCACCAAGTAATTGTGGATCCAATCAAACTAATTATTTTTAAAACACATACAGTACCAAGCCAAATAAATGGTAAACCTTCTAAATTATATTCTAAACATCCACCAGCTGTTGGAGAATACTTTTGATCTAAAGACATTGTAGTAGCAGTGGTTGTAGAAGACGACGAGTAGATTGATGACAGTGGAGATGACGATGGTGAAAAAGACGAAGACGATGAAAATATGGATGAATTTGATAATGATGATAATACATTTGTATTCATTAATAACGATTCATTATTATTTATTGGACTGGATGAATAGTGATCTATAGGATTTGAACGATATTGACAAGCTAAATCGAATAGTTGGCCGAAATACATCGGTGCCGGAATATATGCTAATCAAAGAAAAAAATGAACAAAGAACATTGATTCACCGATTAAAAGGTGAACATTTCTATCCAACTGTCATTGAAAAAGAAAGAAAGAATAAGAATATTTTCTAATAACCATTACTATAATACAATCGAGATCGAGATTAGGTTACCATTAGACTAGATACTCGATAGATACAATATACAAAGACTGGATAACGTTATATTCACGAACAAATATAAAGAAGACCAGAGAACACGACTAGGCAATAGTTTAATCAGTACAATTATAAGCACTTTACACTCAATGAGCCCTGAGTAGAAATTAAAGATAGCATGGAAATCAAACGTTAAATAGTAAGTAAACTGAGTGTTTGCCTGTTCACATTCAGTAGAAAATTGAATCTTAATTTTGCTATCCATATATTAGTTATTTGTAAAGGTTTAGTATTTGACCAATTTTTGAAATGTTCAGGATTTCAACTAATCAGTCCCTTATAATGTTCGTGTATTTCGAACGTAGACTGATTCAATATTATCACTCAATTGTATATCATTGATTCCACCAATAACCACTATCCAATTTTACTGAAATTTGGGACTAAAAGGAAATATAGAATTAAATTTATATCGATTATACAAGCTAGCAGTTATTTGGACTCAACAGCTCAGTGAATAATGTGTTAGCCATTTGAAATGAAAGGTGCTATGTTCCATTGTGAACAATGGGACAAAGGTAGTATATCCGGCTAATAAGTCCTGAATAAGACGAAACGCTCGTCTCGGATTCTACTGATAGCCAACTTTACTTAAACGTGTATCAACTGCTTTTTAGATTTAGAGTAGCATAAAACAATTTGAAAACAATGTTTCGATTTATTAACTGATGTATGTTAGAAGTGGATATAGGTGAGTTCAGAACAAATTCTGCACGTGGTTTGGGTGTTCTGAATAATGTTAGTACGTCAATCAGTGAGTTGAAACAACTACTTCAGTTCAGAGCAGATCAATTTATTAACAGTCAGAACATATTGGAATTATTCCAAACAATTGACACAGTTACCAATGTCAGTGATACATTTTGAGCAAAAAATTAAGAACAAATGGATGGTGGAGAGATGTTGCATCAAGTTTCAACGGACCAGCCCCAATTATTAACCCAAAAGATGAAGTATTCAAATTTGACTTTTCTACCTATACAGCGAAGTTGCGTTTGAAAACAAACACCACCTAAACTTTACAATCAGTCGTAAAAGTAACAGAGTACATCATTTTATTATTTATTTTAACGCATAGATATTGATACAAGGAGGCAACAAATACATATGCGCCACACAATTCCCATTCGACATGTGCCCAAACCGAACCAGGTGGTTTTCTTAGGGGGCAACTTCCCGAGCCTTCGACCCAAATTTCTGATCCACAAAGCAGTGGAGCACCGTAAGTAGATGCAGTCCCATGGAAGCCGGTGACCAACAATTGGTTCATACACCATTTGTTGCCGCAGGATACTGGAGCCTATGTGCACCATTGATTTGGAATCCGGTTAAAGCGCCAGACATTCGCTTTTCGTCCTCTCATTTTCGTAAACACCCCCTCCACGAGAAGGCAGTGAGTAGGACTTCCCTGGCAGGGGTTATGCACCATATTACTTAGTCTAATGTTTGTCACTATAAAAACAAACTTAATAAATTGTAAGAAAATGAAGAAAGAAGACAACATCCATGATAGATCATCTGTCAGTATCTCTTATACACATCGATCAACAATAAAAGTTAGAAGTTGAAGTGGATATTTGAAGTCACAGCATATCATGACTAAATCAACTACCTATTTGAATAAAACAAACAAAGGAAAACCGAATTATAAAACAATATTGTTCGACAATTTTTTCTTACCTAATGTTCTGACAAAGAAAATCTGTAATCCAAGTGCAACAGAACTATCTTCTGATGAGACACAACTGTAAAGACAATTTACAAATTATATCTTTATTAATTTATTTTTATAAGATATGAATGAACAATGGTATTCATTTGAAAGAAAAAAAAGGATATTTCCAAAAGAATTAATCATAGCCATGTTGGATAAGTACAAATGATATTGATTTGAGGTTATTGTGATAATTACAATTAGTGGTTAAAGACATTGAATGATATGGCACAGATGTATTCACTGTTTATCTTAATGAAGATTTTCAGCTCCAGTATTCCCTTGTACATATTTTCTTTTTATTTAGTCTTTTCGGACGATGTTTGCTATGATTAATCTTTCTCATCATTATTACTACTTAATGATACTGATTCTTTTAGTGTTCATGTTTATCTCATCATGATGATATTAAGGTATGGAAGCTTGAGTCAACACACATATCCGCCAGGTTCTATGTCAGTTATAGCTAATAAAATAGAACTGTATATGTAGAAATCTTACCATTGAAGTTTAATGGTTATATCATACCTAAAACTGATGAAAATCGATGAAGTGAGATCATCAATAGATTCGGTTTACTGGAATCAAATAGTATCGATTGTAGCTAACACATTTACAAACAATTGTATGTGAAGAGGAAGCAACATAAACACTGTCTACCATTTAAAAAATATCAAAGTACACTAACTTTATCCAGTAGTGTACGAAAAGAGATCCTATACAAGTTAGAACTTCTGCTGAGCTGAGTTTGTGTTTAAAACATATTTCTTAATCAGGAAGGGGTTTTGTGGATATTATAGTAATTATGGTAGTTGAATTCATGAGTCAATTGAAGCCAGACCACCATGGAAGATCTGTGCTTCCAGGTTTTCTATGGTGGTCTGGCTTCAATTGACTCATGAATTCAACTATTAATATTTCTCAATCCTTAGACAACTTGAACGTAGGTCAGTGATAGAATCTATTGTTGTTTACCTAGGAACATTACCTTTTATGATTGAGGACAAGTAAAACATAGAAACAAGTTCTATCTATGAATAATTACTGATGCGAGCCGACAGATTGATATAAATTTAACACATAAAGATATATACATTGAATCCCATATAATTCAACTTATATATTTGCTGTTGTGTGCAGTGGAAGTTATAAAAATTCATTAATTCTTCGTATAAAAAGAAACATTTACACAGTTTATTTCTCTTCTCAGGACATATCTAATTTCTCTGAGCTGGGGAACAAAAGACCAAAATCATTTACCTGAGCTACAAATCTTCTCCACCATTGGCATTAACTCTTGATATTCAAATGTCAAATAAGAAATTAACGTTCATCAATTAATTAAGAAAAGAACATCATTTAGTTCTAGATTGTCTGAGTGTTAGGTTCGTTTGGGATTATATAAAAAATATTTATTCCCTTCCTATCTGACTTCCTTCCTCTTTATTAATTATGCTACTGATTAATAATCAGTAATTAATTACAATGCTAATAACTTTTGAACATTTCGAGAGAGAGAAAGTGAGAGAGCGGAATCTCCCCACTCTCGGCCGTACCAGGCCATTTGGTATTATACTGCGTGCAATACAAATGAATATTTTAACCTGGTAATTTACTTGTCAGGGGATCAATAACAAATCATGGAAGAATACTTCTGATAAACTTCAAAACAATCTAAACACGAAACAGTAGTTTAATGTTATTTAACTTAAAATTCTTCAAACAAATATCGGTTACTCGATGTGTACTTATACTTCATTCACATTTTGAGTGTAAGAGGCTAACACTAGTAATGATCAAAACATCAAGGCATCCGCTTCACATATCATCAAGGGTTAGATGAAGTCTTTCAAGAACAGTAATCACAAAACAAAGTAATATGGTAGGAAGAGTGTTAATTCATTTATACGAAATTCTAACAGAAAAGAATATTCAGTAGTCATCATCATTAATCCACTCACCTCAATGTGATTACATTACTTGGATTTTGTAACATACCAGTACAAAGAATATGTAAGAATAACATAGCTAGAAATAAACCATACAAAGTACACTTAGGTTTACATCGACCAGGATAAACTTCACCAGAATTATTTGCTAATAAGAATTCATTATTTATTCTCATTGATGATGATAATGACATTGGTATTGATGAGATCAAACCAGATGGATTAAGTGTAGATCGGGTTACACATTGGCAATCAGAATATTTCTAGTTGAAAAAAGAGAAGAATATTTCTTGTGTTTTAAAAATGAAACTGAATGAAAGTTATACACTGAGAAAGAGATTTACAATGATTAACATTGTACAAGTCAATATATTTTCATAAGAATAGATTAGAAGAAAGTTAGACGTTGCCAAACCAAGAACAGGTCTGCGTCAACACCTGAACTAAGGATAGGGAGTGAAGTAGTCGAACGCGTTGACAACTTCACTTATCTTGGAAGTCTGATCAGCCCTAATGGGTTGGTGTCTGACGAAATCTCAGCACGGATTCGAAAAGCTCGCTTGGCTATTGCCAACTTACGTCACCTATGGCGAAGGCGAGATATCCGTCTATCAATAAAAGGACGAGTATACTGTACGGCAGTCCGTTCTGTTTTAATTTACGGGCAGCAAAACATGGCCAGTAAGAGTAGAAGACACTCGTAAGCTATTAGTATTTGACCACAGATCCCTCAGAAATATTGCTGGCGTCTGCTGGGATCACCGGGTAATTAATAGTGAAGTTAGACGCAGGGTATTTAGGAATGATGGTAAATCAGTTGATGAGGTTGTGAATCTTCATCGACTGAGATGTTTGGGCCACGTGTTACGCATACCTGAACACCGATTATCACGACGTGTAATGCAAACCGATGTTGGAGATGTTTGGAAGAAAGTTAGGGGCGGCCAAACAAAAACGTGGCATCAGTGCTTGAAGTCACTAACTTCTAGTCTGAGCCATGTTGGTAGATATATTCTACTTGGTTGGGGTCCGCGTCACTATCTTAACCAGTGGTTGGAGACTTGGTGATATGGATCAAAATCGATCACAATGGCGTCGGTGTATACACTCGCTGTCTTCCCTTAAACTGTGAGATTAAAATCGCTTCATATCTTTCTTTCTATGAACTAATTCTTTCTTCCTGTACTATATCCTTATTGCAGTTTTTCTTTTACATATTACCACCTCTCAATTAACTACTTTTATGAATCCGGTGTCCATCTTGTTGTGTTAATGAGGTATGGCAACTTGGACCGATGCATATATGTGCCTGGTCGTACGCTGTAGCTGACTGACTGCCAAACCAAGACAAAGTATCAGTCCATGTTGTAAGTAGCTACTGAAATGGTTCGTGTTGATAAACGCAGATTACTTGATCAGAGTCAGCGAGATTATCTCAAATCTATAGTTGGAGTTGATAGGTAACACTGTCTCAGAATAAAAACCCCAATGGTGTGTAGAGCAATTCACTTAGATCATGAGTTTTAAAATTATCATATACGTTTAATTCTGCGAATTTATCCTTTCTTCTCCGATCATAATATACACAAAAACTTTTCCACTACTAGTGATACTGTTACTGATTCTATTACTCTGAAATTTGACTTGATATTTTGATCATTTGGTGTAGTATGATAAATTGAACAAATGAATATGTATGTGGGGTTCTACATTGTTTATGGCTGACTGATGTAGTGTACAAGACAATGTGTATATTGACTTAATGTTACATAAATCAAGAAACAGAATTTCTCAAATCATGTATCCTAAACCAATCCCAATTGTGAAGTATTCATTATTGAATAATAGATTTACGGTATTAATTAAAGAATGAAGGAAGCTACGCACAGTTAAATAGGTAAATAAACAAAGAACTAATAAACAACATTAAAACAATTAGTAATTACTGTTATACATATGATTATTTAGATCAATCAAAATAAATGATCTAACCGATTGAAATTATACAATATAGACGATACGCTTCATGCTTCACATAATGAGAATTATAAATAATTCTAAAATGGTTCTATCTGAATGACTCTAAAATTGTTAATGTACTAGTGTAGTAGACGCTATATAGAAGATTGTTTTTAATTAGTGTGTAGAGGAATGTGGCGTTGGAGTTACAGCAATTATCAGTCAGAGTGAAGAGTTTCAGAACATTGAAAACACGGAGTTGGAGATCAGATGAGAATACAATTCAGACTGCAGAACACACCGAAAGGTTTAAATGGAAGACTAAAGGCTATGTATATGTATTATGTAATTAGTTTGTAACTTCTCACAATAAATATACATTCCTCCGGCCTACTGTGCTTTACACTAGTTGAGTACACTAACTGGAAAACATACAAGTTTAATGTAGAACAAACAGAGCAGAGAATTTATCCAATTGATATGAATTATTAATGGTTAGTCCTTGTCCTAAATTCCAGGCAGATCAGCAGTATATATTAGTGTAGCGATATTGAAGTTCAAACTGGGACTTGAAACCATTGTTTATCGCTTTAGGTAAATCTAGTCGATGAATCCTGAGTAGGACGAAACACTTCCCAGATTATATTACTAGTTATCATTCGAAAACATTGTCAAATTCATAAATACATTTAATATCTAAATATCCACTTAATGAGTGCAAATATCAACAAAAACTAGTCAAAATCTAGTCCGGTACATTAACAGCAGGAAAATGCAAACACTTTTATCAATCATAAAATACTGTGGAATATCGAAATAAGAAAGACTGGTAAAGCGAAGAGTTCTCTTTACGGTGAATTTATTTTTAAAGCCATACTATCGCAAATACAATCTCTTTTTAAAAAATTAATAATTGTTGTGACTTTAAGCTTGGCTTGTTATCACATGATTTATTCGCTAATCGAGATATGACTTATTCAATCTTAGTATTGTGCCAAACCTATGTCGTTCGACTGGTATGAGCAGCCGAGCGTCCTTATTGTTCTTTTGTTCGCCTAGCCCGTCTAGTTGAGTCCAGAACACCAATAACAGCTTCCACTATGCGAATCATTTATTTCAAACATACTTGGTTTATATACGAGACAAACAGACCGCATCACACCATAAAATAGGAAATAACATTTATACAAGATCAAGCCAAAAAGTGGCCAACTGAAACAAACTTCTAGTAAAGTTGGTTGGTTGCCAGCAGTGAAATTCACGACTGGTGTTTCGTTTTATTTGAGACTCATCAGCTGGACATAAGTGGGTTCTCATATTGCTGCTCATAATGGGATTTCAATTCAATACTCTAACATCAAATGCCCAAAGTGTTATTCACCGAGCTACAAATTCTAAATAGCCACTAACCTGTCCAACGAATAAAAATTTAATTTGTAAAGTTTTGTATGTTGTTTCTGGATCGTAATGAGAGCTACTACTGTCTAAAATTACTTTTTACTTAATGGCAATATCGAGTTTGTTTGCCATTAGGATGCATAAATTTCAAAAGACTAATCAATTGAAGTTTTTAATGTCAACAAATGGAAGATAAAATTTATTTTCAAATTGGAACCGACCTCATTTAATCATTCAATCATTACATAAATAAAATATAAATTACTTCAATTTCTATCTACTGACATCAAGACTGTGGAATATCAAGAACTAAAACAAAACGATTGTGAAATATAAATTATTTAACATATGGAGAAATGATCCATTTAGATCCATAAAAATTATACAACATGGAAGATAAATATATAGAAAGAATACACAAAAAACACAACACCTACCTTTACAACTCCAGCTTCTAAAACACGTGTTCTGCATCCAGCAAAACAAGGATTGAAAAATGTCAATGATTTCCTATCACAGTCATCAATCTTGTCATTTGGACTACCAAGATTATTATCACCATTAATAATATCACTACTAGTACAAGTTATTTGATTATTTGTCTTCTTTTTAATACTACTATCACTACTACTATCACTACTACTACTACTAGTAGTAGTAGTAGTAGAAGAAGAAGAAGAAGAAGAAGAGGTAGCGGTCCAACACACAGGATTATAATGATTTACTGAACATTGTGATTCAATGTAGTGTGTATAATGACGATTATCAAATTTTTTTATTCGATTATTAGATGAATAACAAAATTGATTACATGGTGCTGTTAAATTTGATGGTATTAAAAAACCTGGACCATTTTTCCAAGGCCAACTAAACAATAACAAGAATAAAATTATAAAATAATAATATACACTTTAGATATATGTAAAAATTATTCAATTAATAGTTTACACCACGAACATACTTTAATTAGATAATTGTTGTCCAGTTTAGGTGATGAATTGAATTATGGACATTGTTGTATTCAGTCAGTCAGTCAGCTACAACGTAGGACCAGGCACATATATGCATCGGTCCAAGTTGCCATACCTCATTAACACAACAAGATGGACACCGGATTCATAAAAGTAGTTAATTGAGAGGTGGTAATATGTAAAAGAAAAACTGCAATAAGGATATAGTACAGAAAGAAAGAATCAGTTCATAGAAAGAAAGATATGAAGCGATTTTAATCTCACAGTTTAAGGGAAGATAGAGAGTGTATACACCGACGCCATTGTGATCGATTTTGATCCATATCACCAAGAGTCTCCAACCACTGGTTACGATAGTGACGCGGACCCCAACCAAGTAGAATGTATCTACCAACATGGCTCAGACTAGAAGTTAGTGACTTCAAGCACTGATGCCACGTTTTTGTTTGGCCGCCCCTAACTTTCTTTCAAACATCTCCAACATCGGTTTGCATTACACGTCGTGATAATCGGTGTTCAGGTATGCGTAACACGTGGCCCAACCATCTCAGTTCCACAATGAAAATCATGCTCAAAGGGAGCATAAACATATGTGTGTATAAATCCCAGTATTGAATAGAGATATATTATCGTTGTAACTAATAATAACATCATGTGTAAATTCATATTGTTGGCTATGAGCCACATTGTGTATGACGGCCAGTGGCAATAGCTGATTGCTAAACTAGATGAAATGGGACTCGAATCAGCGACTGATCACAAATTGAATAGGTCACACTGTAGTGAACAAGAACACCAGTGGGGACAATCCAATGTGTTTGAGCACAAAATTACAGAGCATTTCAATGAAATCCGAGAACCATATAGTAAATCGTTAATTTGCAAAATGTCAATCCATCATATCAAACTTGACTGTTCAATCTATTGTATCAGATCTGATTGTTCATGCGTTTTCATACCAATTGCGTTCCGATCTCGTCCTTTCCACATCGCCCTTCTATACCTGACTACCGTAACATACTACTTGTGTGGATATAAGTAGCCCACACAACAACACTAATAACTAACCGTTCCAAAATAATAACCAAAAGAAAACCTATCCACTAACACTTCAATCAAATATATGAATTAACTATTCAGAGAAAAGATTAAGCTTTAAACTAATAAAACAGTAGGATATAATTTAATCTTCCGTTAAAACAAGAGGGTTAGTAAATTAAAATGAAAGATATCATGTTGAACAAGCTATTAGAAGCTATATCTATTAGAAGAAATGTCATTTTAAGGTCAGTCAATGTGATATAGAGCTGTTACATAGAGAAATATCATTTTTGTATATATATGTGTATATATATATGCGGTTGAATTTCATTCCATCTGATAAAACTTCATCAAATAAAAAACAAGCGTTAATCTCTATAGGACATAATATCCAATTTTCAACATGTCAAATTGACCTCCTTCTTATTTCAATATATAAAAGAGAATGAAAAACACGAAGAAATTAATTTTTTTCTTCTTCTTAGATAATTAAGGTCTACAGAGCAGAATTAATACTTATAAACGAGAAAAAAAAAGAGAGGAAGAAATGGTTACAATTTATTGAGTGAATTTCCAACACAGGGAATAGAATCAAGGATCTCCAATCTCACTTGTATGTAAATCTAATGGTGAGCACATATCAAACTTCGATCGATTCACGACGCCGTAAAGTGAATTATGGTTACCAATTATGGTCTAGCTAAGATCAGTTCATGATGTAAACTATGAAAATTCAACAGTCTGCAGTGAACCCTTGTACTAAAAGGATTTTTGTAAAAAGTTAAAAATAACACAGCACAATGTAAATATGATTTTTTTTCTTCTTCTGGAAGCATAAAAATTCTGCCAAGAAAAATACATAAATGTTGAGTAACTGTGATATAAAATAAGATTATTATTTAGACTACTCAATTCTAATTATAAACCATTGTGAAGAAATGTTAAAACTTTGAAAGCTATACATACATACTAACACCTCAGGCAGAATAAAGGCATACAACCACCTCTCTCCACTGTTTCATTCAAGCAGTGGGGTTAGGCAGAATTGTTCAATGTCACCATTTCATATCGCGCATTATTTGGTGACGTTTGGACTGATTGGAAAAAGCACAGAGGTGGTCAGCGTATGGCATAGTGTCATGGTATTAAAGAACTATATACAGGACTGGTATCTGTAGGTCCTTAACTATTCCCTAGTTGGAATCTAAAAGGTAGTGAAACAGATGGGTTTGAGACGTTAACAGACATTACTCTGAATATAGAAGCCAGTGAAGATCCTGTTATAACTTTGTTTTACTTTCGTTATGTAAATGAAAGGATCTTTTTAACGGAAAGAATCCTTTCTTAACTGCACTGCTTCTCCCATTATTATTATTTCGCTCCCATACACTTATTTTCATTCAATTTATTGTCTCTTTTATTTTACTCACCTACCTTTATCTTTTCACAATCTCATTTTTATTGTGTAGCGAGTATATGTTTTGACTTATTTTAGTACCAATGTTTATGTGTTTAAATAAATAATTGTGTGCAACCTGAGTATATATTAACCAAATCTGTGCTAAGATCCTACAAACTCTTCATCCTGACTCCTAACTATTGAGAAGATAAAAGAATTCAGGAGTTTTATTAACAATCCAACAAAATGAAATACAGAGAAAATGCATAGTTATTTATGAAATTTCTAGGGTATCGATTAAAGATTCTACCTTCATCGAGCCAAATTCTGACTAATTAAGATTGAATTTTTTCTCCAAATCTCTATCACCAACTGAATTCAATCAGTCAAAAATAACGTCGGAACTTAGCTCAAGTTTATATTAGTCCAATTCAACACTACATCAGCATAGCAAAATGAAATTAAGGTCAATATCATAGAATTGGTATATTATTAGTGATAATATGAAGATGATTTGAGTAGAAAAGGCTATATTTCATAAGAATAAATGAAAATAGAGCAGATTGCTGAATAGTATATTCAAGAACGAGTGTACCAAAAAATACAGCTCGAAAGGTAAAGTTGATCACAACCACATCAAGGTAGAAGTTACATTATGATGTCAACGGAATCAATAATAAATGATTGAAGTTTATGAATAAATAAAGATTTTTACAAAGGGTTCATTGATATGAATAGACCGACAACAAACATAAATCAATGATACATAGTGTTTTATATCAACTGACCTAAAAAATTCAACACATCACGTATCATACTACGCACACACCCATACAAATATCATGTCATTCATGTTGTCTCATAGTGATCGGTCAGCAGATTTTTCTTTCTAGTATTTCACTAGCCCATACAATGTATGTGTAAATGACAGTTAAGCCTTTAAATTCATTGAATTAATGAGAAATGATTGTTATGTCAAAAACGGAAATCAATTTCTACCAACTCAAAAACATTTGAATATAATTGTTAAAAAAATTCATTTGTAACTATGTAAACAATAATGAACTAGAAGTGTTCGCGCACGGGGCCGAAAATCCTAGGTCCGAATCCTGCGTGCGGGATCGTGGATGAGCACTGTTGATGGATCCCATACTGAGACAAAATGACTGTCCAGTGCTTTCAGGTTTTCAACGGTGGTCTAACATTGATCGATTAATTAATTCAATGAAAACCCAACAGTCTCCACAACCCTATACTGATAATAAACTTTATCGTTAGCACATTGAGGCAATTGATGCTATGATAACAATATTTGTGAAGTAATATAACAGTTATGGAGTTGAAATACTAAAATTTTCTTAACAATTATAGTTATAGTCAACGTTTTCAGTGCTCAATAAGTGTGATGAAGAGTTAGCATTAAGAACTGAAACTAAACGGAAACAAGTTATTAAATGATATGTTTATAGAAAAAAAGTAACATTTAACGATATAGAGATGGAAGAGAACACAGGACTTTCATGAAAACAATAGTATATCGAAAATTTTATGGATACATAGATACGCACATGGCACAAAAAGAAACAAATTTTGACTTACTTTTCCCCGTTATATGTAGCTGTTATACCTGCTACTCGACTAGATTGACAACCAATTGACATTAGACTAATACTCGTTATAACAGTCAATGAAATCATAATACATAAACCAGATAAAGTACGATGTAATGTAGGTCGAAAATGTCGCATTAGTAAAGCACCAGACAGAACACCTAATAATGAACTTGGAACTATCACAGCACCTATAATTTAGAAGAAAACAAGTAGATGATGATAAATAGGGAGAACATTACAATAAGAAATGTCACTTTGTTAATCTTATCTCGATGTGCTATTGAAAACTTGAGCCAACGCACATCTTTGTCACAACATAAGTTAATTATTTATTTAAACACAAACATCGGTACAAGGAGGCACCAAATATATATACTCCACACATTGTCAATAGATTTGTGCGAGAGCTGGAATACTGTCTGGGTGCCCGAATCGAGGCAGGTGGTTTGTCTAGGTCACTTGCGGAAACTTTAATCTGGAGGCCTAATACATTAGGCTGTGGAGAGACATTGGGAGATGCAGTCCTATGGTAGCCAGTGACCAACATTAGGTTCATATGCCATTTGTTCCCTAAGGGTCCTTGAGCCCATGTGCATAATTGGTCTGGAATTATGGTTTTCCAACTACACTAGGTGGGTCATCCATATCCACCAAACCGATTAAGGCGTCGGACATTCGTTTTTCGTCTTCTCAATTTCATAAATATCACCGCCACGAGAAGGCAGTGAATAAAACTTCCCTGTCAATGGATGTATACACGTGACCATGTAAGAGCATTTCGAGAGGGAGAGCTAACTCCTCCCACCCTGAGCCATAACAGAGCATTTGGAGGCCAATACGTTGATAATAACTTACTGATAACCCACCCCTGTCAGTCTCATAATTCCATTTTCTGCACATTTAATTATAATTAATTCATTTGACCATATGATATGATATTATTCAATTAAATAAGCTTACATCATTATAATTATGATTACTATTATGATCATTTTCAGACAATGATCATTGTGATAGCAATAACTCGTATTCATATATCATGTTTATTCACATGATATACGGTAGAAAAAAAGTAGTGATAAAATCAAATTTATATGAGTTTGTGCAGTAAAACAATTACATGTTTTTGGATTTTATGTTTTTAGTAACCAAGAGAGTATGTACCTGTAAATCAAACAATATAGAAGTACAAGTCTATTGTAATACAATATCTACTTAATAATATGTTTATAGAATGTATAGAGACTACTACTACTACTACTAGACATAAAATGACAAATACAAATAATTTGAATAGGCATTGAAGGATTGTTGAAATATGACGTTTTAATGAATATTCAGAAGAAAAAAAACACTGTAGATGTTTCGACTAAATCAATAGTATATTAATGTTGACACAAAATCTTTGGCAAAGTAGACAAGGTAATTTAATCAAGAACCGCATAATGATAATAATAATAATAAATTTTATTGGATACAATATCGAATAGGAAATAGACTTATAGTAGTAGTACATAAAATAAAGTAGTCTATTGTATGTGATGATGTGTGAGGAGGTTATGTCTGTCTACATTCAATAGCTAACAATAATTTGACTGGAAATATAATTGTAAGTTTAAGTCATATAAATCAATGAACTTCTTGGGTTACGTTTTACTGGTAGGAATAAAAAAAGTAAACACTATGAAGTATAAAAGACACTGGATATGAATAATAATAATGTGAATGTCAACACCAGGATGTGGCAGGTACATATTCAGTTGATGAATACCAAATAGAATGAAGCATCGATTTTAGATACTATAGCTGAAAACCGTTCATCTATTCTCAGTCAATTACAATGTAGAACCAGGCACATATATGCATCTGTCCAAGTTGCCACACATCATTAGCACAGCAAGAGAATCACTGAATTCATCGAAGTAGTTACTTCAATGGTAGTAATATATAAAAGAAAGATCGCATATATATATATATATATATATATACAAACGTTTGTCGTTTCAATCGTGACGTGTAAGAAATCGTTTTCAAAGTTTATTGAAAAATAATCCGTTAAGATTTTATCGTTCCTTTAAGGATTAATTCACGTAAAAATGCCTGACGTGAAAAAAAAACGGATTAGCGATGTTTTCAGAAGTACAATTTACAGACAAATCTGGTGACCAATGTCATATTTGTCTAGTTTTTTAGCGCTGATCGAATTCTATTGATCAATAACAGATTTTTTACTATTCACTGATCATTTGATTGTAAATATTTCAATCATATAAAAAGGTTAAAAGCGAGCCCAACAGTTTAGTCTTAACATTGCAGATATTTAGATTAGGTGATGCGAATTCGGATCCACCAATGAGCATTGGTTCCCTCAGCATCACAGATACACATTGTTGACAAGTGACAAATATCAGAAAGCATACATACAGTTATTAATTTTATTTCAACCGATCCAGTAAAACTATAATCTATTGATGATTTTGAGAGACCATTACATATAAAGCTTATTTTTAGTTATTAAGAATCCGATTGATATGTAATAACCAAGAACAAAGTTGACGAATACTTTGAAGATCCAAAAGGATGAATATGTTTATGATGATTTATTTGATTTCAAATATCAGGAACCATTAAAGTTATCCTTATAGATCCAGAAATTATAGTCCCTATTTTTATGCTTTCTCATATTTTCATACATGTTATCAACTATGTATCATATTGTTTACTGAGTTATAAAAATAATGCAAGCTATCTGTCATTGGCGTTATAGTTTCCAAGCTAAATTCCGAATGGTCTTATCTTACATCGGATTAATTCGTCCGGATAGTATACTTTTAACACTAACTTAATACATTATTGTTGAGAAAGCATGGAATTACTTCATCAGTTATCTGGAGACTCACTAAGTCAGTGAACAACTTGTCGGGGGGAACATAAAATGAAAAGTATTGGGTTTGAGTCTTAATGTAAACATCCAAAAGCTAGGATTTAGGTATAACCAACTAAAGACGAAATATACATTTCCTTGATTTTACAACTAGCTACAATCAATCTATATGAAAAGTGTATTGATCTGCTTTCAATTTTGATTAGACTGTGTTACTTCTAATGAATCACCTAAACATGAATTACCATCTTTATTATTATAATGTCACATTATTTCTGTTTAGATTACATCATATTTACGGATTGACTTCTAAATAATCTAATTTCTATAATGTTTTACCATTAAACTTAATTTATAACATTTTAATACAATGTAGGAGATTTATGTTGATGATTAAACTTTCATTGTTTACACATCATGAACATCTCTATAACTTAGTTTAAACTATGGTTGTTTAGCTATGTAAGTTTAATTGATGGTGTGAACTATGAACATAGAATTTCAATGTTTATAAAAAAATAAATGTTTACAAACAGTCACTGATTAGAAATTGATTTGATTTATATTAGTGAACAATAGAGCAAAAGCGCGAGTAAAAAACAGTGTATATTAATAAGAAATTATTATTATTATTTTAACACATGGACATTGGTACAAGAAGGCAACAAGTAGATATGCGCCACATAAATCATTCGATTTGTGTGAGGGCTGTGATACTACCCGGGTGCCCAGACCGAAACAGGTGGTTTTCTTAAGGGGCCACACCTCGAACCTTTGACCTAAAGGTCTGACCCACAAGGCAGTGGAGCATCGTGAGGAGATGCAGTCACACGGAAGACTGGTGACCAACAATTGGTTCATACGCCATTTGTTCACGCAGGATACTGGAGCCCATGTGCACCATTGGTTTGAAATCCGGTTAAAGCGCCGAACATTCGCTTTTCGTTCTCTCATTTTTGTAAACAACACCCTCGCTACGAGAAGGCAGTGAGTAGGACTTCCCTGGTCGAGGCTGTATACGCGTGGCTGTGTGAGAGCATTTCAAGAGGGAGGGCGGGCCCACCTCACTCTCGGTCATACCAGGGCATTTGGGGGCAACAATTAAAAAGATGAGATACACTGTTTAAACTTCCCTATTATAGAACTTCATAGTAGTTATTAAACAGGCTATCTAGATTCTTGTTTGACTGTTTGAAATAGAAATGTGAGATAACATAATTAAGTTAATAAAAGTAGTGATTTGTAGACAAATTAGAAAAATTACCGTACGCTGTTCATATAACATCTAAAAAACTACATTTTTTTATTTTATCATAGAGGTAAAGAGACAAAGTGCAAATTAAACACATTTAGTAACCTTAAGAATTTTTAACTTCGCCTTACTGTTCATCTTTACCGATAGTCGACCTTATTTAGAGATATCACAGAAACTGATACATCTATATAGGTTAATCCAAAGCTTGATACTACTGACTTTTAAGCCAAATCCTAAATTCTTCAATTACTTCTAGACCTGAGCGTCGAATAGTGGGGAAAAGCAATTAAAGCTTTGTTACAAGATTAATTTACGTACAGAAAAAGAGCTTACTTATAGTTTCACAAACCTATAGGTTTCTAGAAATGCACTAAACTTATTAACAAAGCAAGTAATAATACAATCAAATTGTAACACATAATCGAACAAGATGTTTCTAGCATTCTGCTGGCTTCAGCATATATTGTCAATGAACTCTTCCAAGTTCTCAATAGAAATCTAACGATCTAAAGTCTACCATTATGTTATTCTACTGTTTGGTTATAATTCCTTAAAAAAGATTGAACTAGATTGCCAAGCGAAACATTAGATTTACTTCAAATTCATCAGCTGAGATTATTGAAGAATATTTTAAAACTAATAACAAAGCTGAATGTATATTTATTTAGTGATTTAATCTCTAAACATTCAAACAAACATTCGGTGTTTTAATTAATCAATATAATATGACCTTTTTAGTTTTGCCTCCATATTTTAAACAGACCTATCAATTGGGACTTGCATTGAATGATAGGACCATGAAAAGAGTATGTTTTTGTACAGCATAGCTTAGTCGTTATGGTTAATAATTAAACCGTAAGACAATGATAGTTCCATCGTTTTATAAGATTTACGGCTATTTACTTAATTACTGAAAAGAATTCAATGACTGAAGCTGAGAAAAAATCTTAAATGGGATTGTTTATTAAGGCTGATTTAATTACTGAATAGCTTTATTCTGTTTCATTTGATCTGAGATTGAAACAAGTGACTAAATAGAATACTATTAG